ATGATGAATAATTAAAAGTAACGCCTACTTCCAACTAAAAGTTTATGATAGAACAAAATTTCATTTTTCTAAAACGTAGCAAAAGCTACAGTTGTAAAGTATAAAAACCGAGCCAATGCGAAAAAAAAGATTTTTTCCCATCCCACATTTGTTGAAAATCATAATTTTTTTTAGATCCTACAATTATAACGAAAGTTATTACTAAGTTAGTGACTGAGCTCTGTTGCCGTTTACTGTTCGTTTACAGAGCTCAGTTGTTAAATTGTAGAACAGTTGTTAATTTGCAGAACTTCTTTTGTCAAAAATGTTAAGCAATGAAGTGACATGATTTATGGTTTGAGTAAAGAAAATTAAAACCACAAATTTATCTTAGTTGAGATTTTTTAAAATTCAGTTTTGTTGTATTTAAATTGAAATATTTTAAATTAAAAACTAATTTGGATTATACGAAATTTTTTTTACGTAAATTAATCAAAACAGATATTTAACAAATATCTAAAATTAGATAAATGTGTAATACTAAACTACCTTTTAAAAAAGGCAGATTGCAGGATTTTATTGATATAATTTCATCAAAAAAAAAAGAACAAGGATAAGTAAACTGATGTAACTTATACTTATATGACACTGACAAACTTATATGTCAAATTTTGATTGGATAATAGTCTTGTATTTTTCATGCCTTGAGAGATACTGTCAAACAGAGTAAATCAGATAAATGTAAAAGAGTATCAGATAAATGCAAAACAGATAAATGTATAATACTAAACTACCTTTCGAAAAATGCTAATTTCAGGATTATATTGGAACATGAAAGAATTACCTTTTCTAAAACGTAAAGAACATTTCTCCATCAATTCTGCGTTTTAATACATAGCTTACTTTTTTTAAATTTCAATTAGTACTTCTTACCAAAGTTAATTGAGCATTATTGCCATCGAAAACGGTACTTTTTACTTTTTTTTGTACGAATTAGTACCATTTCACCATTAATTTTGCTTTTTTGTACACAACTTATGTTGTTATTTTACAGAACCTATAACAGAAATTAATTAAACATCATTGGCGTCAATAATAGCATAGCGAGTTTTTATATAACTCGTAAACAAATTAATACCATTGCTCCATTTTAAAGTCCATAGCTATTTTTTGAATTTCAATTAGCTCCTAATACCAAAATTAATTGAATATCATTGACGTCAAAAATGATACCACTGCTGAAAACGTTATTAAAAAAATCCACGATAAAATCGGCGGACATCAAACGCTCGCGTCAAAAAGTTATTATTCAAAAGCGAGATTCGAAAGTACCCTGCAATAATAATTTTCTTTTTTAAGAATAATCGGGATTTCAGAAAAAAACATAAAAATCTTTAACAATAATTGCTGAAAAACCACATGAATTCACGATGAAATCCGCGCAAAATCGAGTCTGACTTCAAGAGATTATCATTTAAATTCGAAATTTCAGTGACACTTTCATTTTTTATTTTTAGAAAAATGAAAAAAAGCTTCCGATTCAATTTTATTTCCACAAAATAATATGTCACAAGAATAAACAGTTGTTTTTATCCACAGCAATAGCATAATTTTCCAGCGAGGTACATTGTTTTAAAATTTTCCTTCGAAATTTCTCGGGTTTCACGGACACGGAAGTTTTGCTGAATACAGGGTTGCCACTCAAATCAGATTTCAAATTTCTCTGATTTTTCCAGGTTTTCCAGATAAAAATCTTAAAATTTCCAGGTTTTAGTTTCTTTGTTCTAATAAAGTGTAGGATGTGGGTACAAGAAAAGCGTCTATATTATAAAATATTTTATTCACAATGTTATTTTTTTAACATATCTTGAAAAAAATAATTTATTTTGATAATTTGGCAAGATTTTTTAATGTTTTGGTACGAAATTTTGAATCAAAAATCATATATTGACCAACAAAAGAGTAAAATTAAATATTAGTATATAGTTAGTTCTTAAAAAAAAAAATGTTATAAAAGGTTAAAATGAAATAGAAAAAATTAGCATTAATGCAACAATTGTAACAATTTGTCGATAAACATTGCTGTTAGCGATTGTAAAAAAAAATATGTGATTGGTTGGTTTACTGAGAAAAAATAATTCATAGATTTCTTTTAATGGTAATACAAAAGCTTTCAGAAAAAGAGTGCAATATAAAATCTATTATTATTATTAAATTATAACCAACTAATTTTTGGAGAATTTTATAATTAAGTTAAAAATTACTAATTAATTAATTAAGTTAAAAATACAAAAACATTTTGTCAAAATGGAAAAAAATTACCACGAAAGCATTGGAATAAACTTAAGCCATAAATGGATTCAGCCCAAGGACAGAATTTAAAAACAAAAGCTAATATCCTAATCCCTTCTTCCACCTCCCCCACAATCTTTTCTAAATTGCACAGTCCATAGCGGTCAAAGGTTTCCACATTCGTTTAGCAACAGTGGGAGAATTTTATGAGGCATTCTAGTTTAACAGAGCTGCAATGGAGCAAATTTTGATGCAAGCAAAGTATGCTAAATTGATGATATTTCAACTGCTTGGAGATACATTTCGTCTAAAAAAAGTGGGTATAATGGACGAAATAATTTAAATTAAGAAAATTAGTTAATAATTTAAATTAGTGAAATTAAAAAAATTTCCAGCTTTTCTTTAAAATTCCCTGATTTTTCCAGGTTTTTATCCCAAATTTCCCTGATTTTTCCAGGTTTTTTCCAGTATAAAAAAAATTCCCTGATAATTCCAGGTTTTCAAGTTTTTCCAGGTGGGTGGCCACCCTGTGAATATTTTATAACTTAAATAATTCGGAGAGGCAGTAGAAACCTTTTTCCCACAATATCTATATTAAAACTAGAGAGTATTGGTGCAGGTTTTATAGGTACAAAAAGTACTAATATAACACATTAGATTGTGTTATTATATTTGTATATTTGGTGCCTATTAAAACTGGACCTATTAACATAATAGCAGTGGTGTATGTTACAAAACTAATTAAGCATTATTGGCGTCATTTATAGCATCACAATTTTTACTCTTCTCCTAAACATATTAGTACCATGTCTCAATTAATTTTTCTTTTTAGTACTTAGCTTATTTTTTTATGCCAATAAGTACTTAATACCAAAATTTATAATCATTACCAAAAAGCATCATTGGCGCAAAAAAATAGTATAGCGATTTTTTACTTTTCTCTAAAACGAATGAGTTCAATTTCCCCATAAATTTTGCTTTTTAGAATATAGCTTTTTTTTTCAATTAGAGAGAGAAACCAAAATTAATTAAGCATCAATGGCATCGAAAAAGAGTATGGTATTTTTTTTTACACTGCCCTGAAACAAATTAGGACCATTTTTCAATTAATTTTGCTTTTAAAAACATAATTAAGCTTTTATTTCAATTAGTACTTTTTATCTAAATTAACTAAACTTCATTGGTGTCAATAATAGAATGGCAATTATTTACGGTTTCCATTAATGAGTAAGCACTTTTCCTTCATTAATTTTGCTTTATAGGTTATATTTTATTTCGAGTAGAACTTATTACCAAAATTAATTGAACGTTATTAACGTCAATAATAGGTTAGGGATTATGCTTCTTCCAAACGGAAAAGTACCAATTCTCAATTATCCATTAATTCGTATTTTATCAAATAGCTTTCTTTTTTATTTTAATAGTAGTTTTTATTTTAATAGTTTTACGTTTCACTGAAACGAATTAATACTATATTTCTCCATCGATTTTGCTTTTCAACACAACCTACTGAATTTTATATACTATGGATTTTAATGTATTTAGTTTTATAGAAACACGTTTTAAAAGCATAACTATAAGCAAAATAAATACGTGGGTTTCCAATTATTTCAGGAATACTAATTCAGTGACGTAGTCTACTAAAGTTCACTTCCACTTAAGTTTATCTGAAATGACGAATAAATTATAATTAAATATTAATGAAAGTGCAATAAAAACCTTTTATTTTTTAATAACGAGAGCTATAAACTAGCAGATATCAATGATATTGTCGTCAATAATAGCATAGCGAATTTTTATATAACTCGTAAACAAATTAATACCATTGGTGCATGTTAAAGACCATAGCTTTTTTTTAAATTTCAATTAACTCCTAATACCAAAATTAATTGAACATCATTGACATCAAAAATTATATCACTGCTGAAAACGTTATTAAAAAAATCTCTGAACGAATTAGTACTATATTTCTCCATCGATTTTGCTTTTTAACACAACCTACTGAATTTGATATACTGTGGATAACTCATTTAGTTTTATAGAAACACGTTTTAAAAGCATAGCTATAAGTAAAATAAACACGTGGGCTTCCAATTATTTTAGGAATACTAATTCAGTGACGTAGTCTACTAAAGTTCACTTCCACTTAAGTTTATCTGAAATGAAGAAAAAATTATAATTAAATATTAATGAAAGTGCAATAAACGCCCTTTTTTTAATAACGAGTGCTATAAACTAGCAGACATTAATGATATTGTCGTTTAAAATACTTGATGAATTAGAATAATCTACAATTTAATTTAAAACAATGGCTAGTTGGCATGAAAAGAATGGCAGCCAACGAAAAAATTCTTTTTATTTTTTCAAACATCTCTCCGGAACGATATATTGAAACTTTCTAACAAATGTTTGAATCGGGGGCTAAAATTACCACTTTCAGCCACTGTCCAAATTTCAGGACACTAACATAAATTGTTCTAAAGTAACACTTTATTTTATTTTTATAGATTACTTTAAAAATCAATTATTGAGACCTGTGTAGCAAATAAACTATGAAGTTTTCAAAGCATATTATTGTAGATTGTATCTTTTTGTAAATACATTGTTATACAGGTGGAATTGCTATTTATTTAAACCAGTGTTATTCAAACAATTGCTTTTTCGTCAAATTTAGTTCCATTCAGTTGAAGGTAGTTCAGATCAGTGTCTTTTATATAAGATAATTTAGATTAAAATTAAAATATGGATGCTATTTTGCCTGAAAATATTTTTCTTAAGTTTCGAAATTTATCTGACATCACATTGATAACTGAAGATGGTTGTAAATTTAGAGCTCACAAAATTTTGCTAGCTCAAACAAGCAGATATTTTGAGACACTCTTTTGCGGAAATTTCAAGCACTCTATACAGACTTTAGTACCAATAGTAAAAGGCGAAATATTACAAGAAATATTGTGTTACATCTATGAAAAGAAAGATATTTTAACCACGGACAATGTGTCAGACATCCTTCTGGCTTCAGATTATCTAATAATTGATGAATTGTTCAAAAACTGCAACACATTTATACTCAATGGTGGAATAACAGTAGACAATTGTATACAAGTCTTTAACTGTGCATGGAAGATCGAACTGGATGACATTAAAACCAAATGTAAACGATTTATTGAAATTCACTGCGAAGAAGCTTTCATGAATCCAATGGCAAATGTCAGGAATATGCCTTTACCTGCAATCAAAGAAATTTTGGAATGTGACAATCTTAATATTTCGGACGAATCAATTGTATGGAATATTGTAATATCATGGATAAAAGGAAATGCGGCAGATAGAATGGACCATTTTCCGGAGATTTTAAAATATGTAAGACTCCAAGAAATGGATGAAATTTTGATCAACAAAATGGAATTGCCTCCCGTATTTAAAGATAACCCTTTTTGCTTCGATTTTAGCTTCATCAATAATATCCAAACGGCAGCAATATCAAAGATGATGGAACAGGCGAAAGCTTTGCCTCTCTCTATAACTGGTTTACGCGGCCCTCGAATTCCGACCAGTATATACTTCATCTGTAAACAAGTCCCACAACGAAAAGCAGAACTTTTTATAACTTATGACTTTAACTTTGATTATTGGTATTATTTGGGGAAATTTCCATTGCATCGTGATGTGAACTATACTGAAATTTGCATTGCAGGGCAATTCGTTTACTTTTCTTTTTATAATAACCCAACAAGGATAAAAGCTTTTGATCTCATCCGTGAAACGTGGACTTTTATCAACAGTGTTCCACAAAGGCGGTCTTTGTACACTGCAGTTTCAATCAATGATGATCTTTACGCTTTGGGTGGTATGCTTTCCATGGTACAGTCTGTTGACTCTTCTTTTATAGATATCAACAACATTGGAAGAAATCCTGCTAACATCTTATTCAACCAAATAAATGCAGCTGATGTGGAAAACCTAAACCCAGATGATGACAACTCTCTCATGTTTGTAGATCTGTTTGATGATGAAGAAGCCGAAGATGGCAATGACAACTTGAATGGCAACCAAGGCGAAGAGACCAATGATATAAACGAAAATTTAGATCATGCTTTAGAGGATGAAGCAGCTTACTTGAATTCTGACCCGGATGATGAACATGAAACTTATGGCAGCGTTGAATTACCGGATGAGGAAGCAAATACTTCAGCCGATGAACCTCTTGATGACGAGGTCCAGTTTTCGGAGACAGACATGAATGGAACGCAAGACCTCCATGACGATTACCATGTTATAAGAAGCAGATACGACGTCGTGCAACGTTACAATAGAGAATCAAATACGTGGCAGTTGATGCACCCTATGAATGCTGCCCACATTATCCGAGCTGTGACGCTAAACAACATGATTTATGTCATCGGAGAAGGTGTAGATTACGAAGAAATGGTCTGCCAATTTTATGATCCCAATAGAGATTCATGGACTCTGATACCAACACCCGAATTCTACCGCACAAATTGTGCTGTTGTAACATTCTGTGGTAAATTATACCTCATAGGCGGACAGAACAGGTATTTTGCTGATCTCAGAAAAGTTGAGGAGTACAATCCAACTGAAAATTCGTGGCGGTTACTACCAGATTTGCCATACATTTATTTCGATCCCGAAGCTATAGTCATCAAAAATACAATTCTTGTTTACGATCAAAGTGCATTATGGGGTGAAAATCATACCTCTGTTACTTGGGACAGTGAAATGCAATCATGGCGTACAGCATCATTTATCAGTGAAGAACTGCTGACGGAAATGAGGCGCAGCCAAATAATTGTTGCTGAAAATCAGGCCATGTTGAAAGAGTTAATCGGGAAACATAAACGCAAGAGAAGTGTTTGGGTAAAAAGTGATTTGGAAAATTTAAATTTAGATAACGTAGAAATTTAAATCTAGTGATCAAATGTTAATAAAATACTTACTTTAACTGTTTGCTTCTTTTCTCTTTTACTTAAAGAAAACAGCATAAAACTTAGGCAATGAGTTTTGCGTACAGAAGAAATCAGCAACAATAAGCAATAGAAGTTAAAAAATAAATCATAAACAGAGGAACCAAAAACACTAATCAGCATAGCAACTTAAGTATCGTAGAAATCGTTTAAAAGATTTTCGAAGCTCAAATATTCAAAAAATCAAATATTTTCGTTTAAAAATAAATAATTGCGATTTTTCTTAACTTATAACATTCAGCGAGTATATTCTTAAAATCCACCTTTCTTATGAATTCGGATGAAATCCACTAAGTTCCATCCATCAATGTTTTTTATTTTATTATTATTATTATGTTTTGATTTACTTTACAAATGAAAAGAGGAAATTCTACTAATAAAATATTACACTGAATCAAAGAAAAATGTTCTGTTGGCAAATATTTTGTAGAAAATCGTATTTAAAAAACACAAAAGAAAATTGATGAAGTTAAGAATAACAAAAGTGACGCAGGACCAAATATTTCATACAATGATAGAGAATCGCCACCTTTAAAAATCCTTCGGGATCTCGGGCTAGAGGAAGACCTCCAACTAGATGGCTGAATGACACTGCTAAAATATTAAAGATAAACATCTGGAAAAAAGTCGCCATGGACAGGCGTTGGAGGCTACGTGTGGTTGAGGCAGCCAAGGTCTGTAAGGGGCTGTCGTGCTGAAGAAGAAGAAGATGATAGAGAACGACTCAAGTTAAGTTCTAGCAAGCTTTGGTGAGGATCATATGAATTAGTTCAGTAACAAAGCAGGAATAAAAAAGTGCAACTGCAGGATAGCTCGTCAAAGTTGTAATCGATTTTGCTGGTCCGATCAAATTAGAAAAGGTTAAAGCAAACATACTTTAATCATTAAATTAAAGTTTAGATAATATAAAAAGAACTTATAATATTTATGCAATTTTATTCGAGCAAAACACAGTTATACTACTTTCCATAACATAAAATGCTAGTTTCTAGAGAAAATTCAAGCAATTTTGAACTTTTGAGAACCCTACATGGGTTGTAAACGTAGAGGTAAATGTAACTCAGAATCTCTCAAAACGTCTGGTATCCGCAAACGAGACATCAGCGCAGAGAGGTGGCACTATTGATGATGTGTAGAGGCCAAAATCTTGTTTCTACCACTCTATATGATATTTAGAAATTGAAATTAGCGGTCAGTTACCCACACTAAACAGAATGAAATCAAAGTTGCCTGTGACAAAAATAAATCGCTATGTGAATCAAGGATGATCTAAAGTATTTTGTTATTTAAATAACCTGCGCTGAAAAGGTGACCAATTTTTGAGTTTAAGTCTGTCAATGTTCAATCACGTAACCTTGTAAAATTTTGAATCCCACCCAGAAGACAAGGGAACTTCTTATCGAACTAACCTTTATGAAGAACTTTTGGATGCATTTGCATTACTTGAAAATAAAAGTCAAGAAAGCATCATAGTTCGCATGCTAGGGGACCCTAATCCATGATCCGTTTACAAATGGAAATATTGTAGGGCAGCGCTACGGTCGGTGCTAGCCAGAGACAAAATTTGATACAAATCAGTTGATTTGAGACAAAACAGCCATCACTGGGATTCGAACCAGAGTTGGAGAGAATGGACCACACTATAGCACGGTATATCAAAGTGTTTAATGCTGCTCGGACTGAGACAACAAACACCGTATCAACAGTATTCTGCGACTTCCTGACATCTGTAGTGGTTATACTAAAAATGCTGGTAGTTATACTGATAAGAATGTAGAATAATTTTGCTTGTACAGTGAGCAAAAAAAAAAAAAGTTATCACCCGGAATAATTTTCGTTCTAATGATTAGAGTTTCGAAGCCTCCAATTCCAAGAGGTAACATTAAATACTAAATTAATTAGTGCTAAGTGCTCTTTAGAACAAAATTATTCAGGTTGACCTATGCCTTTCTCTTTTCTTTTTTTTTTGGCTTAAGTACACTGATTAAAATAGTTTTCAAAGTTTATTCTCATTTCTTTATTGACAATCCTCATATATTTAGGAGATTGCAAAAGTTCGTACTTAAATAAAATAAAAAAAAGCGATGAAAACATTTCATATTTCTACATTTTCATATTCATCATTCATGTGTTTTTCATTATGTTCTACAACTCTCTCTCTCTTAATGTTATACACAGTTTCAATTTACATAACGCACAAAAATTTGAACTGACAAGGTTAGGTTAATACATTTCTATTGACGTCGACATTTCTATTGACAACGAATATTCTTTTCCATAAACAAAATGTGGACATTTTGCATCAATTCTAACATCATTTCAGTTACTTACAATAGTTTACAATAGTTTTCTACATATACTTGTTGGACACACTGTTTTATAATTTCATCAATAAGCAAGACAATATTTATTTATATGCAATTCAAATTAGAATTTTGTAATCACCATAAAAATATTAGAAATATAAAACAAAAGATTATTTACAATTAAAACAAAACTAGTAGCAAAATCAGTTTGTATCAAAATTGTTTTCGAGAAAGTAAAATATACCTGATTACCAAGGCCTATTATTAATAGTCGTAACATCGCAATACTTTTACATTATAGTTACTTGTAATGATGGAGAAGTAAAAGTACGTACTTTTACTTGTACTTTATTTTTTTAACTTAAGTACTTTTACCTGTTTTAACATAACTTTTTTTTGGGGGGTGCGGGGAAGTACAAGAATTTGTAACGAAAATGACACAAAAAAAAAAATGCTTCCTCAGTAAAAAAAAAAATTTTTTTTTCAAAATTATTACTTTTCGTAATTTACAAATTTAATGTATTATACATCTAATTTCTTTTTCTAAACACCCACAAGGACTGTAATTTCTTGAAAGAGAGAGTGCGAGGCTGCTCTTTTGAACACTCAATGACTTTTTTGCAGAAGTCATTGAATAGCAGATTATTCCAGTAGTATTGGAACAAGCATTATATGTTTTCTAAAAATCAGTTGGGAAATGCAGCGTGAATACAGTGCGGCTTTCAAGAGAACTCCTCCACACATCAGTTTAGCTTTGTGGCGGGTACCATGTTTACGAGAAAAAGTCACTTCGAATATGGGTATGGGGAGAATAGTTTTGTCTTGATCTAGGCATAGGTCAGCGTGAGTAAACCAATCGACATCTTCATTTCTCCATTGCGCCCCCATTAGAAATGTGCTCTCGGTCGTTACCATAGACCCAGACTTCTAGTCTGGAGGAGTTCTCAAAGCCGCACTGTCCTTATGGTGTTGAAAGGTAAATTTTCAGCTCTAAGGATTCTAAAGAAAAAGTTAGATAATGTGAAAAAATTTGGACTGTTAAACTAAGTATGGTGTCTAAATACTATTTTTAGAAAGATAGTTCATCCAACTTTCAAGTATTTGAAGACTATGACATCCTGTTCTGTATGAATATCTTTGTGTGTATATAAGTTTCGGCGGCATGCTTCCTGAAACGTTCTTCCTAGAAATATTTCTTAGTATTAATAAGATAGGGAGGAGCGAACTATTGATGGTCTTATAAGTTCGGATCGGCGGTACCACTTTATTTAAGTAGAGGCACACGTTTTTTCCCTTTAGATAATTGTTTTCTTTTAACTAATTCGATGCATCTTTATGTCTTATTGATGTATTTTGAATTTGCTACGCCCATTAAAAATTAAGAAAGAAGAGCGTTCTTCTTTTTTTTAAGTACGAAGCACTAGACCAATGAGCATAAGTTGTTCATATTATATAGTATTAAAAAAAAGGTATGTAATATTAGAAAGTCTAATTGTTTTTTTCGATTTGAAAAAGAATTTAATCCATTTGTTTAATTTTGACAAGCATTATTTTTGTCAACCATGAGTGACTTTTTCTAAATAATGTATTTAATGTTACTCAACCAAACATTTTTTGATTTAAATTATAAAAAATATGCCTCATTTAATTAAAATATGGCTAAAAATTATGCTTCAATTAAAAAAAGTATAGTTTTTTTATTTTGAATAAAAATAATTTTTTCGTCTTTTTCGGATTTCACAATATAAATATTTAGTCCATCAAATGAATAAATTTAAAAATAAAACTTTTGTGTTTCATTTTTGTTTATGACTATTATGAGTGGATTCAATATGGCATATTTATAACAAAAATTACAAAATTCTCATCATTTAAAATTAAAAAATTATTTAACATTTATAAAACGAAATATATTTTTTTATTTAATGGATTTCAACGGGTTACCTGCATATGAGTAATTTTTTTTTCACTTATTTCTATAAACAAAAATTATAAAGTTTATTGGATTTTTCTAAAAAAAAATAATTTAATATTACAAAAGTAGAAATGAAATTTCTAAAGATTTGGTGGTTTCAAAATTTAATTAAAACTCCTTTTTATATGCAAACATTGAATTTTCATTTCTGGCTTGGTTCTTAATACTTCAACAATAACTATTTCAACGAATTTTGTAACATTTTCAAGCAATTTAAGGTTTTATTCATTTATGTTAAAATTTAATGCATTTTATATTTAAAATATATAAATACATATATTTTTAATGAACTTTAAGGTTGCTTTAAATTGTGCTATAAGGTTCAATGAATTTTGGATATTTCAACGTTAACTATTTCAATGAATTTTGTAACATTTTCATGCATTTTAAAGTTTTATTCATTTAAATTAAAATTTAATGCATTTTAAATTTAAAATATATAAATACATATAGATATTTTTAAATTTTTTAATGAATATTAAGGTTGCTTTGAATTTTTAATTGCTTTGAATTGTGCTATAAATCGTTGCTTTTTTTTTGTTCTGTAGTTGCACTTTTTACTCGTTGAATTTTAAAATCAAAACTTTTTAATCGCTACTTTTACATTAACCAATTGTACTTTTACTCATTACTTTTAAAAGTAACATTTCCATGCATGTAACATATATATGAGACTATTTTTAATCTGAGGAAAAGTAAAATATGGCGAATAGTAAATTCTTGATCGCAACACTCGATTAAACCATCTCTGGAAAATACTGGTTCCACGTCTGGAGACTTCATTCTTCTCATTTGCGTGCGAATATAATACGTTTCCCTCTTACATATTACTTTTCTTATTTAGAGTGTCAAAACTATATTTTAAAACGATATTTATTATATTTTTTGACATTATATATACACTATACATATAATGTCAAAACTACATTACCTTTAAGCATTATGTTTAATGCAGTTATAAGTTACATATAGCTTCCAACCTGAAAATATTGTAATCGATTTAAAAATCAAGACAGAAACTAACATACTTCTCAGTCCCATGACTACCCACATGCTAAAAGTGAAACCATGCCTAACATTGTCATTCTGCTAAGTGTCACCTATAGCCTATTTTGACCTGCCAATAGTTAAAAATAGTAAGAGCTCCCATTTTACTTTTTAAGAAAATTAGAAATTTACGGTTTTACAACCTGTTTTTCCTTTCTTCCAAAGTGCAAACAAGTAGAAAGACTATTAGAAAAAGTAAAAGCATTTTCATTTTAGAGTTCACTTAAGCTTCAAAAAAAAAAAAAAAAAAAAAAAAAAAAAAAAAAAAAAAAAAAAAAAAANGAAAAAAAAAAAGAAATCATGCTTGTTTATAGACTACATATCTTCTATTTTTTGCAGATTTGTGATAAAATTTTATTTTCATATTTAAAGTCGAAGCAAAATGTATGAATTTTTTATTTCTATTCCAAACTATTAAAATGCTATCAAAAATGTACAGAACTGTTTTGTCCCACTAAATAATGTCTATATTATACTTTGACAAATATTTTTTTTAACATTTAGTATTATTTTCCAAAATGTTATAATGAAATTTTTAATTTGAGACTTACATGTTATACAATTTTAATTAAATCTAAGCATTTAATATTTGGTTTTTTAACTAGTTAAAATGTTAATGAATTCATAAAAAATATATATGATATACTTTCAAAATTGATTGAGACAGAAATGTGAGAATTGAAGAACAATAAAATGACATCCTCGAACGAAATATCAACAACTAAATAGCTCTATAAAGGATGTTCAATTAATCTTGTGTAGTCATATTACAGGATCAGACAAGGTTCCGATGGGGTACTTTATTGAAAAAATAATAGTGGATCTTAACCCTTTGCGCCGACTGTCACAAATATGTGCCAGCATAAAACCCTATCAATCAGGATAAAAAAGATAAAACTGGTAATCAAAGTATTTCCTTAGCAGTTTAATTGTGGGCGGAGTTATAATTGTTTGATTTATTTAACTCACCATTACTTTGTTCAAAATAAAACTATTTAGTTAGGTATACTTTGAATTAACATTGATTATACATATGATTAAACTAACAATAATTAATGTAAAAGCAAAGTAAGTCTGTCAAATTAGAAACGACTACATTTAAGTTACCATTTTTTATTTAATTACGTCCTGATTCTGATTTTGTACGAATGCTTTTCTGAATTACCCGTCCCCAAGGGATTAATGTGGTTGCAAAATTTTTGCATTTATGGTTATTAACGGATTTAACAAATTTAATTTAACATGTATTTTACGACCATTCGAATTTAATAGTTTAATCATACATGGAGAAGACCTGGTACTTGAAATGCTTTAACACGTTGACAACCGTTTACCGTTTTTTATTTAATTACAACTTGATTCTGATTTTCCACGAATGCTTTTCTGAATCACCCATCCCCAAGGGGTTAAAAGTCTCATCGTTACATAAAGGGTTAAAATAATTTTGACCACATCTACATATAAATAAATTAAGTAGATGTATAAATGCATTATAATCCCACTAAGATGCGTCTAAACTCTGCCCATAATTTAAAAATATTTCAAACTATGCTCGTAATTCAGTTGCTATTTCACTACTTCATGAGAAAGACATTTTACATACAATATATTTTTTATGAATGCTAATTTGTGTTGTATATATTTTACTCCTCTTAAAAATACGCTAAAAATTAAATGCTTTTACTACCAGTTTTTTCCCATTTCTGGATACCACAGTTTTTCTCATGACGTAAAGTCTCTTAATGACATCTAACCTTTAGCTGTAACAATTAAACTTTTACATTTATTATTAATAATATAAAACTTTGTTAATAATTATTAATAACATAAAACATTTATTATAAAAGTTTTATACACTCACAAATATTTTCTCTCACAATAATTAAGATCCTTATTGATATCTGATCTGAAGTAATAATTATAAATATAATCAAACTTTTATTATAATAGTTTTATGTATTCATGAAAACCTCTTGTGTTACCCAAAACTTCAATACCTCAAAAGTAAACTCTCTAAAGCTATAAATAAAATACAGTGTTAAGAACACTTTTAATAAAAAAGATTATCTAAAAGATACAGATAAATATTATTTGATTTGTGACTTTATTAACAAATGTTGGTAACATAGTCCAATTTTTTCCACTACCTAAAAGAGATAAAAAGGAAAATAAGTAATAGGAGTGCTAAAATTAAACGTCTTTCACTATGACTTACATAACATTGAACAATTTTAAAAATTTAATAGATCTATTATAAAACTATCTTATTTGGACACAACTTAAAAGTTTACTGCTTGTCCTTATAACAAACTTGAAATCTATATTTAGTGTATTTACACACTTATAATTAATAATTAACAGATGTGTAATTTTGAATTTAAGTCAAAAGGAACTTTTGAATCCAAAACTAAGTCTATCAAGATAAGCTCTAATTTATAAAAGAGTTGTTTTATTTAGTATGTGAAAAAATTATAAAAACCTCTAATGGTTTACCTGATGATAAAGGGACCATAACCTATGATTGACAGCAATGTCAACTTGCTCTAGACAGGGGATAAATGATATTAAGGGATACTCTTTTAATGTATGACTAGTGGTTGAGTAAATTCAAATTGTCAGGATTTCAATCACCAGCACTTCTAAATAATTCAAAATCTTAAGTAATACACCAGTTTGTTACAGTTAAGCCGTGTTGAGCCTTTTAAAAAGTTGGCAAAATGTAATGGAAATCTGCCAATTTTAGTTTGTAGTTCCCTACCATTTTTTTTAAATATTTCGTCTAATCCGAAAAGTTGGCATCTCCTGATTGATGCATCTTGGGTGATATTTTGCTAGAGCAAGCAAAGAGTACAAATCAGCCAGTCATAATTATGATATGCTAACAGGGAAAACACTTGAATATTATGAATAATATTAGACATATTTAAAATATATTATATTACATATTCATTAAACCAAATCATTATGACTTTTAATTTTCAATGACTCTGTCAATATTTTGCAGTGCAGCAAATCTAACTGTAGACACTTAATGATGTAATAACTAGGATTCAAACTTAAGGTTGCCTTAATAAGAAGCAATCCTCTACTCCTCAAGACAAGAGCTAATCCCTTGCACGATTTTTTTTTTTTTACAAATGAGTTCAGATCAGCCTTATAAATATGAACCATATAATTATTTTTTCTTTTTTTCATCAGAAAAATGTTGGGAACTTCTGTAACTTGCATTTCATATCATTCTGTTCAAAAGTTACATACCAGAGATACCCAAAAGCATTTAAATTGTACTAAGGATTAAACATACATAGTAGAATTTGAAATCATATGCAAAGTGCAAAAAAAAAAAAGATGTTCATTATAACAATTGATGCATTAAAGATTTACACTGATCATTATCCTTAAATATTTATTTTTAAATATCAACAAAATTCTAAATACAACAATGAATTAATATTTTTCATAAGAAAAAGAATTATCTCAGGGTTATCAAGTCATGGCAACTTAAGGGCAGTGACCCGCAAAAATCTTTCTAAAAAAACATCACAGAATGGGATCAACTTGAAATATATAACTTCTAGCCACCCCTGGACAACATCCACAGGTTTTTTTTTTTATTTTTAATTTCCAAGTTTAAAACCTATTCGGCACCTTGGCGATTATAGCTGGCGCGACAGATCACGATACAGAAATGTCCCCATAATCTCTGCTCTACATTCAGAAAAACACTCAACTTACTAGATTTTAAAATAATCATTTTTCCGACTTTTTGGGAGGTAAATCGTCTTTATGGTAAATTCTAGTAGACTGGAAAACTATTTTTCTTCTTTCTTCAGGTGTTAATGAAAGAGGATCGATTGTAGGCGGGCGATAAATCATATCATAAATAATTCGACTAAATAAAAGCAGAGCTGCACCGCCAACACAACCGTAATAAAATGTTTTAGGATACCTATGAGAAAACGGAATTTTTCTTGATCTTTTGAAAAGTGGCTTAGGACGCTTTGGATACTCCATTATAAACAGAGGTATACACGACTGTGTCTTTGAAAATATAATTGTTTTAGCCCTTTAGCGAAGCTTTTTATTTGAAGACACAAAAACACAAGGCAAAAGTTTAGATACTCGTTGACTTTGGTTGAATTGATTAATGAAATGGATAATTTTGATTTTCTTACATGCTTTAGTTCAGCATTTAGCTTTAATGGATAATAATAAGAGGGGGAATTAGGGTTTGAGATTAAAAGTCAAACTCAAACAAGTTAGGTCAAAGCGAATATAGTTTTCCTAAGTCATCGAAAGCAAGAAGTCATTGTTTTTGACGTCATCGTTAAACTATGCATGAGATTTGAAAGGTAAATATTGCTATCTTTTATATATTTTTCATTCAGTCTTGCTCTTTTATCTCCTAATTTCAAAATATATTTCTTACTTACCTTTCTATTTCTGTCTTTAATGCTATTTTGTGCTCATTACTGTAATGCTGATTTAGCCTTGGCCCGATATAACTTTTGATGCAAATTTGGGTAGTAGTCCTTTTTGCTTTTTCCCCCCCGGCCCGGATGTTTATATATACATGACTGTCATCATTTGCTTCAGTTGAGAAAGATGGCATCCGCTTTCTCAATCTCTCAACTGCGGTTGAGTCTTTGCTATAAGAGATGGAGAATTAATTTTGCTAATCTTTGTAGCATTTATTTTCCGTTTTCGTTAAGTAACTTACATTAAATTTGCGTATCTAATGCACAAACATTTTATTCTAAGTTTACTATGGCTACTTGTAATGGCGTGAGAAACATTAATGAAATTAATGCATCTTCTTCATACAAAAATATTCTTGGAATACCATTGCGAAGAGAAATTATAATAGGAGTTACTGTTATATTTCTCTTATTTATAACCTTTGTCTGTACCTATCTACTGTTAAGCGATAAACCTAACAAATTAAAGTATGTTAATATTTATTCAAACTCATTTTCTATCAAGAATATAAATTCTTCAGTTGATCCTTGCTCTAATTTTTATGAATTCACCTGTGGACTATGGCTTCATAATGCAAGTAGTGATTTAATGCAAGATAAAGTCAATGAATTTACTCTTCTTCAAAGCATTGTGAATCAAAAACGCATGGAAATTTTTAAAAATAGTATTCCTAGTTCCAGTTTTCCTCAAATTGTCAATGATGCTTTTAATTTTTACAATAGTTGTCTAAATTTAAATAGAAACACTTCTTCTGATTTAAATTATATCCTAATGACATTTGAAAAAATGGGGGGATGGCCGATGCTGCAATTAGAAGTTTGGGACAAAAATGATTTTGATTGGATTAGTGGTAGTTCCTATTTATTAAAAAACATGGATATTGAGTCCATATTTGGTGTTCGTATTACTGTAGATGATTATAACACATCTTCAAATATGATCTATATTACCATCCCTGATGTTGGAAAAGATGATTATTCGTTAAAAGAATTTTATAACAGGCAAATGCTGTATGTTGTTTTATATACCTTAAATCCAGATGCTGATGGTGAATATATAATTAAAGATGTTGGAGATCTTCAAAAAATTGAAACAGTATGGCGTGATATTATTGTAGCAGCAAAACAAGATCCGACAAAGAATGATCCTATCAGAATCTCATTACATGATTTGAAAAAGGAAATTCCCGAAATTGATTTTGTAAGCTATATTAATTTATATTTACGAGACATGTTAGGGGAGTTTAGGTTTAATGTATCGGAAAAAGATATGATCTTAGTTCAAGATTTGAATTATCTTAAAAAAGCAGTTTCCATTTTGTTGTCAGATTCATTTACTAAAAGGGATTTAGCAAATTTATTCGGATGGCTTTGTGTCCAAAATTCATTAATTCTGTTACCAGATGTAATGAGAAACTATGCTGAGGCGAATCAGTATGATTTACAAGAAACAATGGAAACGATCGAAGATAGATGTTACGAAAAAACTACAGAAATTTATGAATGCAGCTTTGATTATTTGTTTGTGCAAAATGTTTCTCATGATGGTATTGCTGATAGTAAAATTTTAGTTCAGTACTTGAAAAATGCCTTTGGCAATTCATTTGCAGTTTCTAACTGGCTTGATGACACCACCAGAAATGCAGCTACACGTAAATTAAATTCTTTACAAACTGTATTAGGTTTCAAAAGTGTATATGAGCAAAAGAGTGAGTTTGATAATACATATAAAGATTTTCCACATGTATCTGAAAATATATTGGAAACATTTTATAAAATTAAAAAGTATTTTGTGTCTCAAGCAATTGACCAACTTCAAGTTGGCAATAAAATCTCGATGGACCATTATCTACCCAGGCCAATAACAGATGTTAGTGCTTATTACATACTTCAAAGGAACGTGTTAGTGGTTCCGATTTCTTTATTTTCTACTCCTTTTTATTATAGTCGAGCACCTTGGTATTTAAATTTCGGAGCTTTAGGTGCAATTATTGGTCATGAAATGATGCATGCTTTTGATAAACATGGATGTCGTAGAGATGAACATGGTAGACTATATAATTGGTGGACAAATAAATCAATAGAGAATTATAACAGTTACTCTAATTGTTTCAAAAAGCAATTTATTTCATATTTTGATGAAGATAGTTTACCTCCGGCAGCTTCAACTTTAGATGAAAATATGGCCGATACTGAAGGTCTTCACATTGCTTTTAAAGCTTACAAACAATTTGTAAAGGAAAACATTCCTGGGGGTAATTTTCCAAATTTAGAACAATATTCTCCCGACCAAATGTTTTTTATTTCTTTCGGAACACTTTGGTGTTCAAATCAGAGTGGTAAGCATAAAAGCACTAATGATGTTCATAGTTCACCAGAATTTCGTGTGAATAGTGCAATTTCTAATTCTGAATACTTTGCACAAGCATTTAAATGTTCCGAAAATTCGAAGATGCACCCTTCTGATAAATGCCACTTATGGTAATTAGTAAATTAATTCAATTCTTGTTTATGATCCTGACAGGGATATTTTCATAACGTGATCTGTCGTGTCAATTGAATTCTAAATTTGCAATATATTAGAGAGAAAAAAAGGAATGTAGAGATTTGCCTGAGGGTGGCTATGAGTTATATCCTTCGTGTTAGTCTCCTTCTGTGATGGTTTTTTAGTTTCTTGCGGGCCATTTACCAGAAGTTGCCAAGACTTACCACAGGTCACGATATGGAAATCTACCCATTTTGAAGTTTGTTATATAAATTTGTGTATTGCTGCTGATAAATTAAACTTTTCTTCTTTGAATAGAAATACATTTTTTTAAGACTTGTTCATAACTGTCAGCTTTTATACTCGTTGATAATATTTCTTGGTAGCAGTGAAATATCAATTGTAAACATGCTTTTTATTTTACTAAAATTTGGAAACATTTTCAAGTTAATGTCAGATATTTTAAAAGTATTTTTAGATTTTAATTATATCTAATGGTATTAAAGATTATTTTATTGAACCCACAATCAAATATGAAAATGGATAAGAAGTTTTAAGTAAAATGTAGAAAATGTTTCAGCTGCTGTGTTTCTTTGCCTGCTGTTATAGGATATTGAATAAAAAGACATAGCTATATGTTTTTTTTTATTAGTTAGTCATTAAAGTTTAAATCAAGTTATCATAAATGTAAATTTGATTTTTGGAAAGTATTTAACTGTATTTAAGTTATTATTTGTGTATGGATTATTACAAACTATCAGCCAATCTTAGAGTTCAAATGGGTGACCTCAATTATGCTAATTAATTTATACAAGCTTTATTTTAAGTAACAGTATCGAACACAAAACTTAGTTTCTCTTATTACATCTATTTCCATCAATCTTTGACATACAATCTTTGGCCCTTAAAATATGTGATGAATCTGGAAAATATGGACCCTATAATTTAGTAAGAAAAACAGTAAAAAAATTGGACTCCTTAAAATGTTAATTTCATTGTATTGTAGTAGTTTTGCACATAATTTTAAGCCAAAAAGTATTCCATGTGAAAAATGGTTTAATTAATGTTTTATTTAATATTGGTAAGAAAATTATGAATTTTACAAAATTTAAAAAATAGTGGTCAAATTATTCTTGTGAAAAATTGTCAAAATTTAAAGATCGAACTTTTTGTGAAATTTTATTATTTAGTAACTATCATATTTGACTAATTTTAATCAAATTTTTTGATTTGTCATTTAAAATTACATAGTTTTATGATAAAATAATTTTTCTTACTGAGCTTATCATTTGTTAACACTTAACAATATTGAAGCTTTTGGTAATTTTTTTTTAAAGCTAGCTTTTTATATATGATTATTATTTGTTTGTTCTAAAAAATTGAAATTGCATTTAGGTTCTAAAACCAAATTTAGTTCAATTCGAATTAATTTTTTCTAAATAAAGAAGTAATGAAATTTTTAGCTAACCATATTTTGATAGCTTTTGATGTAGAACATGTTAATTTAAATGATTAAAATTTAATGTTTTACATATTTAATTACATTTTTTTGCAGAGATCACAGCCTTTTAATCACACCTTCCTACACGATGTACGTCTAAAACATTTGTTAAAAAAATTAAAATAAAACTTAAGTTTTTACTATTTTCATTTAAAGACTTGTTGTTTATCTTTAAATTTTGTTGGCATAAATTTGTTTAAAGTAATGAAAAAAATTCTGAGTTATAAAATTTTTGTCCCTTATATTTTAAGTTTTACTTATTTTATGGAAAATACGAATTTATTTTTCTAATTTCTAAAGTGTTAATTATTACTTTGCAATATCTAAAAAAAAAAAAAAATTAATAATAATATAATAATAATAAGCAAATAAAAAAGACATAATTTTTTTTTACATTTTTATTAATATTTTAGTGTTTTATTTTTGTTGTTTTGTGAAACAGAGACAAAATTTTTATTCAATTTAGAAATAACTATTTGAGGAACATCTATTGCTTTAAGCAGAATTTGACTATGGCAAATATGTTAAATATGTTATCCATGCTTAAATTCATATAATAGAAAAATAATGAAGATCTGTACATCTTTAATTGACCTTTCATATATTACCAATAAAGATGCAATTTATGTAAATGGAGAGTCATCTCACNAAATTTCAAAATTATTACAAAAAAAAAATCAGTTGAAGACAGAAAAAAGTTCATTATATCCAACTTCCTCACTTTTTTGGTTCACTATATCCACAAAAAATAACATTATGCGCGTATAGCAAAGACACGGGACCTAACATTTCGTTCACTATATCCGGGAGTTTACTATAAACCGTGTTCACTATAGCGGGGTTTGACTGTAATAGAAAAATAATGAAAATCTGTACATCTTTAATTGACCTTTCATATTTTACCAATAAACATGCAATTTATGTAAATTGAGAGTCATCTCACAATATTTATCATCTCAATATATTTATTTTCTCAATATTATTTTATTAAGTTTTTACATGGAATGCTAAATATTTATCATTTTGTAATATTATAATAATTCATAACAGTAGTTATAATAGTATATTTACCAAATTTAAATTAATAATTTTTTGTATAATGTGCCTTTTATTAAAAAATAATAATTGTTTTTATTTTTGTATAATACTGAACCTCTATCAATTTTTAAGTTTCTTTTGCCATTTTTGATTAAGCTTTTTCATCCATTTCCCGTGCAGCTATCATTTACTAAAAAAAAATTTAAACAAATCTATCTTATGATAAACCAAGTGCTTATTAATTGAGATTAGAATAAAATATATTCTCTTTATACTTTTTAAACACTAGTTAAAAATTACTAAGTTAAGATAAGCCTTCATTCAAAAATGTCTTATAAAATTTATGACACCACAATTTTTTTTTAAAGGTATCCATTAAAATTGTTTTCTTATTTTCTGCAGATAAATCGATATTACAGTGTTCTGATAACTGTCCTACCAGTTCTTGCAATTTATTAGACGGCTAATAAACTGGGAAAACTGGTAGCACAGTTATTTCATTAGAAGCAAATATCGTTAGGAAGTAATGATTTTGTGACTAAATTACTCATGCAAAATTTTTAATTACATCTTATTCCGAAGCTAGAAGGAGAACATTTTGAACTCTTATTTTTTTGGCGATATTTCTCTTTAAATTAAGATTGATTTAAAATTTAATTTGAAAATTAAACGATTTGTTATTGACTACTTGCCTTGAAAATATAGTTTGTATCAATAGTCATTCAAATGTTATGTAAGTTCTTTGGAGGTGTTGCAATTTGTTAAATATGCTGAAAATCGAATGATATGAGCAATGCCTTCTTAAGTTATTTAATTCCCTTTATTAGAAAAAAAAATTTCTTGTAAGTTGTAAAAATAATTAAATTTAAAAGGGAAATCATCAAAATGTTTTTTTTTTCTTCATATATTCAGATAATCCTTATACAAATTTATAAAATGTGCCATAAATTTTTTTTTAAAAATTGAAGGGTGGAGTTAGCAATGACATGGTTAAACTCACCATCAAAATGTCTGTAAAAAAAATTTTTTTTTGGGGGGGGAGGGGAAAGAGAGTAAGGGTATATTAATACTATCAACTATAAGTTAAAATTTGTAATGCTTTAATCAATCATCATTTCATTTTTAGATTATTTTATTTTTATGGTTTCCAAGGACGTATGTAAGGTTTAGGAACCAGTGGGATCAATCTTCTTTCAAAACCTGTTGATATTTTTTTCTGTATGTCCAGTTAATTTTTTATGCATATAATTTATAAATTTATAATTAGTGCAAGTTTCTATGTTATGTTTCTCATCTTAAAAAGTTCAATTGTTTGAAAAATCAATTATTGTGATGGGTTATAGATACGTAAATTGTAAGAAAAATTTATTTAGTCTAAAAATTTAATTAATTATAAAACTAAACTATTATTATTATATGTATTTGTGCATTGTAGCGATGGGAACAAACGTAGTATAAAAATCTTATGCTTACATACAAAAAGTGTGTTTAATTTCAAATCATTGATTTTATCATGGGTGTATTTTCAAATCATTGATTTTATCATGGGTGTATATTTAATCACGTGTCTAGTTTTTTTTTCTCAATAGAAAAAAATATAGCAGCAAAAATAATTTTAAAATTAATTTTTTATGATTATTTACTTCGTTCATTCTTTAAGTTGGAGTTTTTGCATGGAAACGCAATAAAAGACACTTTCTTATAATTTTCAATTTCACTAACTTACCGTTTTTCCCCCGTCCTGTACCAAGTAAGAGATAATAAGAATAAGAGATAGTTTGCTGCCTGTGAATTGTGTGATGCTAGTTATTGAAACAATTTTGTATTATTTGCTTATTGTTTACCTGGAAATTCTTGAATGAGACATAAGATTAAGCTTATCAAAGAAGAACAAACAAAAATAGTAATTTTAAAGGAAAATGGCTGCTCTATTGTAAAAAAGATTTGTCGTTTTCACTGCTGTGGGTAGTTTAGTACATCTGAGAGAATTGTATGGAATTAAAAAGCGTCAAAAATTGTGTGTATGTTTAAAACAGAAGACAACAAAACCTAATTCGAGACCAGCTAAAATACAGAAAAATCTAGGTTTATCTCTCAGTTCTCCTAAAGTTAGACAAGTATTGTAAAGTTATGGATTGGACAACAACAAATTCCAACTTAAACCCTATTGATGATATCTGAGAATATATGACTGGATAACTCACGATGTTTATGAGAGTACCTTCAATTTCTGACAAAGACTCAAAACACAAAATTTATATAATATCCGTCAAATCTCACCAAAGAAAAATAAATAAATTACCTTCATAACTTTATAACGTCTATGCTAGATTGAAAGCATTAAGTTTTCAAGAAAAATGGAGATATTACCCATAACAAAATATTTTTAATTCTTAATTGAGTGATAACGAATTTAAATTTTTTTCATTTTTGTTTTTTATTGGATTTAGAAAACTAGCTATTATACTACGTCTTAATCACATACTAATTTAATAAGTACAAAAGTTAATGGTTTCTTTAATTGTATTTCCATGGGTATATCTCTAGTCCTTTATAACTTTATAACGTCTATGCTAGATTGAAAGCATAAAGTCATAAAGAAAAATGGAGATATTACCCACAACAAATTATTTTTTATTCTTAAATGAGTGATAACGAATTTAAATTTGTTTCATTTTTGTTTTTTATTGGAGTTAAAAAACTAGCTATTATACTATGTCTTAATCACATACTAATTTAATAAATACAAAATTTAATGGTGTCTTTAGTTGTATTTCCATGGGTATATCTCTAGTCCCTACCTGAAAAGAAAATCTGTATAAGGTTTGAATAGCTCCTTACTGGTTAAGAAGTCTTTCTCTTTTAAATTTTTTTAAAACGTTCTTTTTCTTTTTAGGTAATTGAAGAAAAAAATCATTATTTCATGATGGTACTTGAGCATGATTCGGTGTCCATATTGCTCTATACAAACATAGAAAATATGAACGAGCTCAAAGATCTTTTGATGAAAGGTGAACTGAAAGCTGCTATCGTCAATTCCGAGCTTATTTACCACACTGATCTACTGATGTTAGCATCCCACAAAGCTCTGTACAATGCTAAGAACAAATCTCTAAAAACAAAGTCCATTAACACCGAACTTCTTTACAATCTTTTCCCGTCGAGAAGTATTAGAGACTCCTTAAAAACTTTCGGCACGCAAGATAGTGCCACCTCAGCAATATTTGTCTGCTTTGATGAAGAATGGGTATTAAAATTGAAAGATATTGTGAAGGGAAAGCTTTCATCTCTTGACAAAATAAACGAACTTGTGAATGAAAATGCTGTCAAGAAGTTGTATAAAATTCCAGCTTCTATGACTGATCAAATATCTATTTTAAATTTTATAATAACTAAAATTTCATCCAAAGAGTTGTTATTCTGAAATCGATTATATTGTGTTTGTTGAAGATTATTTTCTCTACTTCAGTTCCTGAATAAATTATATTCGAAGAGAATAAGGAGTTTAAGCTTATTTCATGTAAACGTTTTTAGTTTTATTTATTGTCATTATTTTATAGAAAATTACAGATTTAAGTGAAACGACGATTACGGAATAATAATCCACAAATATGATAGAAAAATGCTATCTGTATGTGTGTTATAGTACTAACACAATTCTCACTTGTAATTGGGAGTTTTTTCCCCCTTAAACAACATTTAGTTATTTGCTCGAAAAGAATTTATCATCATCAAAATATAGAAGAAAAATATCTTTGAATATTTGGCAGGGTTTGAAAAAACCCAACCCGCGCGGGTTTTATTGAAAAAACCCGGGGAAAATTGGGTTTTTTCAATTAGTGCTCATAAACTACTTACTGTGAAAATATTTTCATGTCTTAAATAGTGATGTATAAGCTTAAAAATATAAATAAATCCAGAAAAGTTTATTTAAAATATATATATTATAATTAAAATAAGTTTAAAGAATGCACTATCACTAATACATGTTTGAAACTTTATTCTTAAATACATAACGTTTTACAATTTTTAACTGAAGCACTATAAAATATAAATGCAAGAGTAATATAAAAGGAACAAGTTTATTAATCTTTTTGTTTTCGTTTGTTGTTTATGTATATATATATGTATATATTACTTATTACCAATTTATAATCAGTAAAAACTAAAATGTCATCTGACTTTTACCTTTAATAAAATTAAACTGGAATACATATTTAATGGTCTTCCATGTTTTTATAATACGATTAATAGAAAGTGAAATTAAAATTAAATATAATTATAAAGAGTATCAGTTACTTGTCCCATTTTTCAAATATTTAACCTTAGAAAAAAGACTGCATTTTTAGATAAATTTTAACTTTATAATTTTAAAAAACATATTAATATAAAAATTACAAAACCAGAAAATTAAACTTTTAATTTGTTAATTGTTGTTTAATGTAATAGTTTCACATTTTTGTTCATTTATAATCTTTTTTTAATTATTCAATCGTAGCTACAGTACATTTCAAATTATTTATATTTAAAACAATAATATTCTGTGTTGCTCTCTTTCAATAATAAATTTTAAAAAAAAGTATGCTAGAAAAAGCATCGATTTTAATAAAATTTTAAATTTTATGAGTCACCACGTTTTACATTTTTAGTCGCCTATGGCAACCCTGCATTCTTTGCATTGACTTTCAATTGTAAGCTATAAAAAAAAATTATACATAAATAAATACGTGCTATAAAAATTAACAATTTTTTTATCAATTTTAATAAAACTTTTAATTTTATTTGACACCACATTTTGCGTTTTTTTCGCCCTTGGTAACCGTGTTAACGTTTAGTCTGTCTCTAAGTTTCATTCATAGTTTACTACAACCACTATTACTAGTTGACTGATCAGGAAAATCTAATGGTATCTTGAGATATTTGTGCTGAACAAAGAAAAAACACAGCAAACTAATCGCCATGGTAAATTTTTTTTATTTCTAATGTTTGCATGTACTACAGATAAATTACACTATACAACAAATCTCAACTTAAGGACTTTCAACAGTTCAATCCCAGCTAATATTAAAATGACCAACTTAGTAGTTTTCAGAGAAGTCAAATTTTAAAATAACATAAGGATTATTCATAACTCCCCCTGTGGTTCCAGAACAAAAAACCAAGACATGAAAAAACTAGTCTTAAATATAAAAACAATTCAAGTTTTAGCCCTTATACAGTTTTACTGTTTGTTAACCATTGGTTATGCAGCATGTATCAATATTATTATCCAGTTCCTATAATAGACTAGAATTGTATACAGTATTGACAGCATATGTGATCGTTTCATGTGTGAAGATCTTGTTGAGCTTTGTATAATATATATATATACAGTTTAGAAGAAATTTGAGTCCGTTAGCGGACCCTTCACAAATTTGTTTATCTTCATTATTGTTTTGTTATTCGAATAAACCCTTCCAAGGAGGGGGGGGGGAGACAAATGTAAACGAAGTAAGTTATGTCATCGGCAGACGCTTCTTCCTTTATTCGTCGGAAATGAATATTCTGCGTTCAGCAGTATAGGCTAAATACCAAACATTTGTATGTTGTGTCTCTAATTTAGTAGCAGAAATCGCTGCTTATTTTTGAAAATTTCTTTTTTTTTATTCTAATTTTACAGTGGTGAGCATAATCTTGCATGTCTTTACAATTTAAAAACTCATTGAAAAAGTTTTTTGCAATAACAGGACCTTATTTGCACAAATTCACAAGGTTGAAAGAATGTGACTTAACGTTTATTTTATATTCACAAATTCCGAGTAATTTTTTCACAATTTTACAAAAAAGACCTTTCTCAAAATGTCTGGACAGACCCCTTATTATATATATATATTAAAATTAAGCTATTTTCTCTTTTAAGCTATTGACTCTATTTATACAGATATATGTAGTGTATTAAAGATTCATATATTTTATACCAATTTAACATGTTTTCTGGAAATCTAATTCTGCAGATTAGTTTGAATCCACTTTTATTTCTTGCAAACTGATGCAAAATACTCGATTTACGAAACGCATTATGTCATTAATAAATAATTTTACGAAAGATGCATTGTTCACTTAAAAATACTATCTCCCATAGCGTTTACGTCACTTTTTCGTAGTAGCTTTAGTTCCTTAAGCGTATTTCCTGTATTCTAATTTCAGATAATGGCTTCATACCGGAATTTATTTTGCAAGATTTTGAGCTAACCTTTCTAATGAATGAATGATATTCTTATTGTAGTTTATTTTTACTGTTATTTTTTTATGTTCACAACATTTGCTTATTTACTTATCTGTTTATTTTTTTTCATAATTACTTTTACATTTATTTTGTTTGTTTTTTTTGGAAACTGTTTTCTATTTTTTATTCGATTTTATTAAACAACAAAACAAGTTATTCGATTCTATTAAACAGCAAAGCAAGACAAGAAAAAAAAAATGAAGGATATGAAAACAATGACTTGATAAAATATGATAAATCTGTTAACCCAAAATTTTTAGCCTCTTTCCTCTGGAATGTTCTAGTGATCGAGCAATGGCAATTAAGTTAATTTTATAATTTTAAAAAAATCGAAAGTGAATGTATATATACAGGGTTATTCATAATTCCCTCCGGGGTTTCGAAGCGTTATAGTAAAAAAATGAAGACGAATATGGCAAAAAAGAACGTAAGAAATTATTCCGAAAGTATTCAAGTTTTAATTTAAGCAGTTGCCGGTAGATGGCAGTAANTATATATATGTGTGTGTGTGTGTGTGTGTGTGTATATATATATACCTTTTATCCTAATATTCCCCTGTGCATTTCGTTTTTATTCAGTGCCTTTCTTCTTATTATTATCCTATAATGTGCTCATGTAAAACATACCTTTTTCTTTATAACTGTTCAACTATAATCTAATATCGCTCCATTTTTACTTACAAAGCTTTTTTTTTTTGTATGGTTATTATCTTTTGAAACATCAGAAACTGATTTTTCATTAATTTTAATGAGATATTTAGTTTTTGTTTATTAACTTAAGACTATGACGGTGTTACGGCACGCACAATTATTGCCTACCTTTTTTAAGCAAAGACTTTCGAGTTTTGTTTCTACGTCAAATAAAACAGAAAGTGTGATATTTAACTAAAAAAATATCCATAATTGATTAGTGCAGAAAAGTGCAATGAATAAAAAAGCCACATTTAATAATAATCAAATTCAATAATATAAACAATAAAAAAAGTATGATTGTGTAATATTTGTAGGCTTCCATATAAGCGTTCTGTTCAAATCTGTTGCCTGTCACGCTTTTGATTCATAGTCATAATTATTAAACAGGATTACAGCGCCATCTGTTGATCAGGCAGAAATTCTTTACATTGATAGTGTCTTTTTTCTCAAAACTAATTTTTTGGTAATTTTCAACCATTCTAAATACAATATCTCAAAATATTTTTGTTCAAATTATTTCAAATTTTTCGTGATTGATTACTATGCCTTGGTACTATTAACTGGTTGATTAAACTATTATTTTATATTTTACTGCTAAAATATAAATAATTAATTGCGATTTCTGGCCNTAATGTTTTTTTTTTTTTTTTTTACAAATAAGTGTCGATATTTGCTGCAAAATATTTAAATATTAATATGTCTAATATTTAACCTATTTCCTAACTTGAGTTTTGATGAATATTATAAAGCACGGACAATAAATAAATAATAAGCCTTAACAAAGTTATGTGATTTCGAAAAAATAGTGTTTTTATCCATAATTTTTTTTAAAAAAATTCATATTTTTTCATTTTTATATACATATTTTTTAGTGTATTATATATACATAAATCCAATTTTGAAATTACTTGATTAACAATTTCAAAATTTTGTCTCCAAAGGTATTTGGGTACTGTAAGTATTTGTTTTAGTATATCAATGATTGAAAAATACTACTACTACTACATATGTGTCAATACTTTTTTTAAAAATCTTTTTATGAAGTTTTAGGAAGCATAACTAGCTTGCAGTGAACATGTGCCTAAAGATGAAAAGAATTATAACAAAATAACATTTCTGAAAGTTAATATACATAGATATAACAAATGTTTATGTGCTCCGAATGACTAAATACAAAGAAAATGTAAGTAAATTGTGCCACCTATACTATAAGTTCTACATGGAATAAAGCCGAAGATTTTACTTACCCAGAAGAATAAAAAGAAACTAATAAAACTATTGGGTTTTTTTTTTTTTTTTTTTTTTTGGAAAGCTGAAATTGTTTGGGACTAACATTTCTTTTTCTTGAAATTGACTTCCGCTTGTTTGTAAGTCAATCCAGGGATGCCAACTGATCCGCTTTCTGGAATAGTTTTAATAAAGTGGTAGCAAATTATATAGTAAAATTCGTTACAGAAGGATAGTTACGCTTACTTTTTAATAGAGTAACCAATTAATTGATGCTTTAACGTTGCATTTAATGATACTTATAATTTTTGATATTTAGTGGTAAAATATTACTTATAAGGAAAAATACTAAACTAAAAGTAACTAAAATTTCGCTATCACTGAAAAATACTATTTTACAACGCGGAGCAAGTTGGCATCTCTGTCAATCACCAGTATCCAAATGATGAAAATTTGTCACTGGTATATTGCATTACATAATTGCCAATTAAAAATGCCGGCATTTGATTTGATTATCAATACGAAAAAATTAGCAAGTAATAAGTCACGAAAAGTAAACCATCTTTTTTTTGACATAGTTCGTAAGTCAATCAATTATCAATATACAAATGATGAAAATTCGACATTGCCATATTGCATTAAATAATTGCCAATTAAAAAAATTGCCAGCATTTGTTTATTAATACGAAAATATTAGCGAGTAAAAAGTCATGAGTCAGAAATGAAATGATTATACTACCGCCCTTTTCGTAAAGTTTTACTTTACACAACGATGACAATTTGCTACGAACAGCGGATAAATATTTTCGAATGATAGTCTTTTAATGTATGATTCTCAGTCTAGTAAATTCGATTTATCGTGTTTTTATCGCCACTACCTCTAAATAATTTAGAGGCTTATATGATATGCCACTTTGTAACCACTTAGCCGTATTGAGCATTTTAAAAAGTTGGCAAAATTAACTGAAAGTCTGCAATATTTCTTTTGAAATTTCATTTTCTTAAAAAAAGATTTTTTTTTATCGAATCCGGAGCAGTTGGCATCTCTGCTTAACATTAAATACAGAATGATTTATAACTCTCCTAAAAATCGAAACACATTATTTGGACTTGGTGCTTGTGTATAAAAACACGATTATAGTCACAAACTAAATGCAGGTGATTACACAAATTTTCATAAATACGAAAATAAATTAACTATTGAATTTCCAATTTGTCAGGCATTGATTTTTTGGGCTATTTTCAAGAAAAACGGCTCTAATAGCCACAGGCTCCCGGTTATTATTGATAGAAATCCGATCAAATAAAACAATCCATCATAAGAGCCGACTTGATCTCGGAAAATACCTGAAATGCAAAAGAAATATGTCTTAGTTAAATTTTAATTAATCGAGAAGTAAAGTCTAAAACAAGCCAGTAAATTAACATAACATAAAATTTCCATTTTATATATGTTAATTTTTTTAACAAGATTTTAGATTTTTAAGCTATGACCTTTGGAAGAATTTTTTAATTGTTAACGAAATTCAACACTCAAAGACAATTGAATTCCTCTCCTTTATAAGTTGACCACTTGTCCGAATAGATTATCAAATTGCTGCCATACAACTGTTGTCAACTATCGAGATACGTTTTTTATGAGTTTCATTTCATTTTCTGAATTCAATATAACAAAAATAAAGGTTCACCACGATCGAAACTGTACTTTATTTTAATTTCCTTATAATAATAATAAAACTTTTGAACCATACGTCACTATAGTGACTTACGGTTACTATAAACATGTTCTTATTTATTAGATCATTTTTATTTGAATATTTAGAATAGTAATAGATTTTATGATTAAACATTTATTATCGATTAACACGTTGAGCACCACGTCAGCCATAGGTGGCTGACACTGGACTTTCCATTTAGGCCGCGTCAAACACCGGTGGTTGACACTGAAATTACAATTAGGCCGCGTCAACCACCGGTGGCTGATACTGAAATTACATTTAGGCAGCGTCAACCACCGGTGGCTGACACTGAAATTATATTTAGGCTGCGTCAACCACCGGAGGCTGACACTGACCTTTCACATAGGCCGCGAAAAACAGCTGGCTGACAGCGTATAACATGATATCGAACTATAAAATTTACACTCTTTTATGAAATTGCAGAAAATGTATTCAAAATTTACTTAATTATTGTGATTCTTGGTTTAATAAATTCAATTTAGTAGATTTTTATCCACCACTATTTCTAAACAATTCGTAGTGTTATATGATTCGCCACTTTTTCATATATGTCCTTATATGCCAAAAGTCTCAGTTGCCATTCAGTCAAATACAAATGAAGAAGTCCAGATCAAGTCAAGTCAAGTCATATATGTCATGCTAAACCTTTTAAAAGAAGCAAAATCTGTCTAATATTTGCAATTTTAGTTGGTAGTTAATTACAGTTTGGCTAGACGGGCAAGCCATGTAAAATTAGCGTGGTGTTCAACGTGTTAATTATATTGAATTTTTTTTCCTATTACTTCTTACAAACAACTTAAATGTACATAGATACATATATATGTATATAACCTATCAATTGTGCTGAAAAGTTTTTAACAGAGAACAAAATTAAACAAATTAAGTTTACCACTTTAAGCTACCACTTTAAATATTTTGGAAAGCTAGGACTGCCGAGTTGGCAGCTAATTTTCAATCCAACGGCCTTAAACGATTCGCTCTTTTTTTAAATATTTTCCTCGTGTCTGTAGTTGCTCGCAATTATAATGCAGGCTTTTATTTTTTTAAAAATTTGTTACCTGAACTTATAAAGAAATCAAAATTTATTAAAAAAAATACATTTTGATTTAAAAAAATGACCAACAGAAGAGCGGATTGTTAAAATCCACTGATTTGGAAAATACTTCCCCGGAAACGGAATTAGTATTCAGAATTTAATTTGTTTTATGAAGAAAGTAAATTACTTAAATAAAACTGTTACCTATTACTGGTGGTATACCAAATGTTACTAGACCGGATATTAAACCCACACATCCAACAGCCAATGACTGCTTCGTCTGATCAATGTACTTGTAAACCAGTACCGGAAAATGTACGAACACTATTCCCGCTGTGATTCCGTACAAGACGAGACATGCCATGTACAGCCAGAAGTTGGTAGCAAAAGGAAACAGTGATGTAAATAAACCTTGGAGGATGAAAGTCAGCATCATGAATATCGGAAAAGACAGAATTTTCTTGTCCGTAACCCATCCAAAACAAAGACGACCTGAAATAAAGAAAACAAAGAATTATTATTATTATTATTTCTAATAGCAGGATTAAAAGACAATTACAGCAATAAACACAAAGAACCATATAGGCATAGAGAAAAAGAGAAGCAGCTATAGCGATATCTATGAATACAGGAGGCCCCTAACCTCCCACAGTAAAGTAACACGGCTGTTTATCAAAGGCTCTATTGTCGCATGAAATGTCTTTTTGCGAATAATATGCAACTTTCATAATTGATGAAAGTTTGCAACAGTTGTTAGGACAGGCCCATCCTATCTTTATCTAGCACCCTTACTGTTTATTCTGAAAATTGCGCAAACCGTTAATATAAAGAAAAGCGTTTGTGGTCTAATTTTTAAATATTTAAAAACTTACTCCAATGCAGCATTATCTGGTCTCATAAAAAATTTGCAAAAAATAGGAATGAGGCATTGATTTTGACAATTTTTATCTAGGTGGGAAAATGTCTCCAAATTGGTGATTTTTTTTAAAAAAAGTTTAATGACTTTTAAAATATTTTAGTCATTTGCTCGTTCTAAAGACCAGATAATTCTTTATAGCAAGATGGCATATGCAGTTTGAAATTATAGCTTTGCTTCAGATGTAAGACACTTAAACTGTGGCGTTTTCATTTTTCTTGGCAAAATAGCTTCGAAAACCCACGTTAAAGCTTGGTAGAAGATCACCATCTATAATGACTCGTCCCAAATTCCAGAGACTGCAAATGGGACATGAGGAAAAGGAGCAATTGTTTCGTGAGACAAGCATGGGCAGTGGCCCACATTTTCCATCAAAATCAGTACGCATCTAATCTAGTAATTATTATCCTCTTAATGACACGAAATTATGAGCGTAATAGTTTACTAGATTGTAACTATTATGCTCCTAAATGTCACTAAAACACATAGTTTAAGTTTTAAAAAAAATTGGAATACAATCGATAACACGTGTCTTGTTGTTTCTGAACTGCTTCATTATGTTTATGCAATATACTGTGGCATGTGACATTTTGCGACAAGGAGATGAAATGTGTTAATATTAAGCAGAAAAAAATTACCATCCTTATTAATTTATACATTAAAGTTTTTCTATTTTTTCTTTAAGAGGCCTCTACTCTCGCCATCTTGGAGTTTAGATTAAATTTTAAATTTGTGTTTTGTTGGTTCTTTTTTTTTTTTTTTTTTTTTTTTTTTTTTTTTTTTTTTTTTTTTTTTTTTTTTTTNTTTTTTTTTTTTTTTTGTACTGAACAAAGTTTTGATGATGTCGCATTGTTAGATAGAACAATACCTTTCAAAAAAAGAAGAAAATGAAGTAGTCGCTTTATCAGATTAGGATAAATAGCGCTTGATAATTTTTAGAACTTCTTTTAATTTTTTCTCAACACTTTGAAGCAAATAATTTTTTGGTTTTAAATAAGTAATTTAACCCCTTAACGATCGGTTAATTTTCAAGAAAACGGTCATAAAAATAACTATTTTTTTGGCTTTTGTATTTGTATTACGTATTTGATTAGTGCTGCAACTCCAATCCTATATTTATTAAAACTGGGTACCTGGGCCGCACAGCTGCCCCTATCCCATACATCATGAAATATTTTTAAAAAACATTGAGTTAAAAGCATATTGGGTTTAGCATCATTATGGTAGCTATACAAGAATTTAAATACTTTGCTTAATAAATTTAAAGTTGTGGGTTGAAGTTGCAAAATTAATAAGAATATTTTAAATCAATTAACAAATCTATTGAAAAATGTTTATATAATTAATAAAATAAATATTAAGAGTTTATTAGAGTTCATATGAAAGTTCAGATTTATAATTTTGTTTATGCTGTTTCCATCTGCTCTAGACTATGGTTTATACACTGTATGTTGATTCACTAAGAAATTTGTAAGATTCACTAATATCGATGATTCACTAAGAACGATGATACACTGATGGATGATACTCTGATGGATGATAGTGCTGTAACTAGTTTAAAATAAACTAACTATCTACAATTACCTAAAAAATAACCTGGTACTGCCATCAGGTGTGTAAAATGAGAAATAAAATGTTTTCCGGGCAAAAGAAATGAATTAGTTTTATTCTTATTGGCGCGTTATTACTGAGCACTCCAGCCCGTCAATATCACGGGAGCGAGAAAAAGTGGGCGAAAACTCACCCCGTCATTTTCACGGGAGCGAGAAGGAAGGGGTTAAAACTACTCGTTTCTCAATTTTCAGATTTTTTTTAAATCTAATTTTATTACAGTTTAAACTATTGAAAATCAATCTGGATTACGTCAGAAAATATTTTTAATGCTAATTGCACATAAGCAAAAATGCATCTAGTAAAAATCTAAAAACAAGCAACTTTATATTATTTAACTACGAATCAAAAACTGTTGATTGCAGAATTTTTCGGCATAATTTTGTCTCAAAAAAATTAGTAGGAAAACTACAAAATACCACACGCTTTATATTTCGAATTGTGATTGGGCGGCGGCCTTGTATTTTGCATATATCGAAAGATACTGGCAAATAATAAAAAAATATCCCTCATCAGCTTGCTTGTAAAAGTTAAATAAAGAGGATAAAAACCATATTTGAAATCACCCCTTCTCAACTCCTTTGTCAGTTGAGTACAGTTAAGAGAGGAAGGGGATCTTAAACCTTTATTTATTATTTTTATTAAACATATTTTTAATTCTTATTTCTTTATTTCGTACTAATGTAGGTAAAAATAAGTGAAAAATATTAAATTTTGCAATTTAATAATTTATGGCTATGAAATACAGCATAAAACACCGGTGTCTTTTTATGCGTTAAATGTAAAATCTTCCAAACACGGCCCACTTCTGCGCAATAATTTTTCAAATTTGCACTTACTTACTGATAGCTAGATCAAAGAGAAACAGTAATAAATTTTTGAAATTTCTTTAATCTATAAATTAAGCTATTGATAAATTTTTTGAAAATAAATATAAAAAAAGTTTAACTACTTTTTTTTAGATTTTATATTTTAACATAGATATAGAATTCCGATAATCTAACAGATTTTTTTAGTAATAACTAGACTGCTTTTTATAATTACAAAATACCAAAATATATCTTACTTGTATTTAGAGCGTCAGAAAATAAGGGTTTTAAGGTTCGTAATTATTGCTTCACAGGTAAAAATAAGTTTAGAGCTTAAAAAGTTTTAATGAGAAAAGAAGTCAGATATAAAATTCAGAAGCATTTAGTTAAATTTATAATTTTATATATAATATACAGGTCTCGCCCTAAGCATTCGCCACCTCCCCAAATGCGATAAAATCGTACATTTAGCGAATAAAATTGTGTTTTGACGAATGATTTTTTCCACTGTAAAGAACAATATATATGTAACTCAATCCTCAAAATTACTTCAAAAAAATTTTTTTAAACAAATCACTATTTTTAATTCGATTACAGTAATTTTCAGTAGATGCTTCACATAACCAATTAGAATCGGGTTCAAATAACGTAAGCCTGAAAGAAACTACAGTAAAATAGTTTTTTTTATGGGAAAATTATTGATCATGAGAAATTGCTAAGATTTGCATTTGGCGAAAACTTTCGAAAATTGGCGAATACTTTTGTTATTTAGATAATTTACTGGTTAATAATTTGAAATCTTTAGCGCGGGTCCTGAATGTATAAAGTTAATTTTACAGTTAGAAAGAATTTTAAACGCGTGAGATTTTGAAACGAATTTTAACACATATCGTCATATCGAGTATCCCTTATGATTGTATCTTTGGAAAATTAGGCGTTTCTCTGACCTTCAATTCGGTATTTCGAAAATATTTCTCTGAAAATATTCCACCCATTAACCTTGAACTATTCGGAAGAATATTGTGTAACTTATGTTTTTAAACAATACTTTTAGCCTAAATAGATTAACAAAATAATAAAGACATTTTAGAAAAATTACAAGTTAACCATGTAGAAAAAAAATACCTTGTATAAAATAATGTCGAAGTGTAATTATATATATATATTCTCGTTCTGTGTGAGTGTGTGTTCTATTTATAATCACTTCTTTTTCTCGATTACTTAAAAAACGAATTTTTTCTCTTCCCTTGATAGGGTATTCCTTAACGACTTTTCGAAATGTATATTTTTTATAATTTTTGTCAAATGAAGTCACAAAAGTATGCATTTTGGGTTTTGCACTTTAATATTCAAACACAAGGAACTACAAAATCAACAAACATCAAAACTTGTTGGTCGTTTAAAAATGCATTGTGTTTGTTATTATTATGTATTATTTTGTTAAATAATAAAAAATAATTTGAACTGTCTGTTGAACGAGCGGAATTGACTTTAATTTAATTTTAAGTATAACCTTTATCTATCCAAAATTTTGACTAAATCCTCTATGTATTGAATTTTTGAAAAAATTTAAAAGCTATCCGGCATTCATTAACCCTTTCGCGCCGACTGTCACAAATACGTGACAGCAAAAAACCGTATCAATCAGGGTGAAAAGATAAAACTGGTAATCAAAGTATTTCTTTAGCAGTTTATTTGTGGGCGGAGTTATAATTTTTTGATTTATTTAATTCACCATTACTTTGTTCAAAATAAAACTATTTAGTTATACTTTGAATTAACATTGATTATATATATGATTAAACTAACAATAATTAAAATAAAAGCAAAGTAAGTCTGTCAAATTAGCAACGACTACATTTAAGTTACCGTTTTTTATTTAATTGCAACTTGATTCTGATTTTGTACGAATGCTTTTCTGAATCACCCGTCCCCAACGGGTTAAAGCACTAAAACTAACATAAGTACTTTTTGCGTTGAAGTACTTTTCTTCAATTTTTTTAGTGGGTCTCTAAGCCTATAATAGTTTATAGTCCAAAGATTTTCCCAATAGTAATTTTAGTTTTAACAAGTCTTCATTGCTTCAATTTGATCGTTTTTCAAATTTTTATAAAAATATTTTATTTTCAAAGCTTCTCAAGCCAAAATTTTTGATGGTCCCATCAAATTGATGGTTTATGTTGGTCTCAGTGCGATTCATTATGGCCTAACATCATTTGATGGTCACCATCATCCAACATTTTCCGTTATGCGTTCATGGTATTTGATATGACAACAAAATTCCATCATTCCATGATGGAAAATTCTACTTTAATACTATGATGGTTAACCGTCAGGAGAAGTTTGATTCTCATGCACCAATAAAATTCGTGATGGTTCCAACTATACGTTTCCATGATGGTTTAATGGGAATTTTTGTTGGTTTTCAAGAATATACTATCAAAACAATTTTTTGTGTGTGTGTTGACCCCTCATAATGATGGAATATTGTTGGCACATCAATCTGAATTCTTACATTTAGGAGATTGTGGCTCATGATCGTTCCAGCATTTGATTTCTATGAAACTATGCTGTAAATTCAAGATAGTCCATAATGGTACGACAATGCTTTGCCACGATGGTAATTCTACTAGTAGAATTACCATCTACTACTTCTTACTAGTTTGCTCAGCAGGACTATACCATCAAAACAAGTTGCTATTCTTACGTTGGACCATCAAAAATTCGCGACCGAATTCCTACATTAAGGTGATGGTTACTTACGATGGTGACCATCAAAAAATACAATAGTTAATGATGGTTATCATCAAGATTATGTTGATCCATCAATGAAAACCAACAAAAACTTTGACTTGGGTTAGAAGGAAATTATAAGAAAGTATCTTCTGAAACTGTGTTAATTTTTTTTAATACTTATTTTCTTTTAAACGGACATAGAATACTAAACATCCCAGTATCAAGCAGAACATACCACAGAAGCTGGGGACCTTTGTAATTTCACCTCCTGTAACTGAAAGCCTCCACACGGTTTTTTGTAGGTAGTCCTATTAGACCACTATAAAGGTAAACCAAATTGTGAAAGAACCATTTAATATGAAATCTATTAAAAATTAGAAAGTGGTAGAAAGTATATGTCTAAAAATTTGTTTAATTTATGAATATAATTAGTTTGTTTTATTTACTTGTCAACCACCACAGATTTAATTCTCAAATACATATGATAAATTTCTCTCAAGTACTTTTAAAATAGAATTTGGGTACTTGCGCGCAAGTGGTTTACTTTTTAAATAATCTGTGCGGACTACTTATAAGAAACCGTGTGGAGGCTTTCTAATGTAGGAGGTGATGCAATAGGTGACATCAATTTGTTTCAGTGCAGATTTTGCAGCTTTGGCGAGAATTTGTTTTTAAACATACTGTAACAGATTTTTGTTTGTACATTAGTTTCGAATATTGAATATTTATTGAGCTTACCGACCAAATCACCTACTGTTAATGCATGAAACAGATATTTCTCATATTCCCCAGGTATTCCTTTGTCTCTGCTGTAATCGACTACCACAGTCAGAATGGGAAGGAAAACCCAGAAATAGGAGGCAACTCCTAAACTGATTAGAATGTAAACTGGATTTCTGTAAAGGAGTACGATATCTTTCAAACTTTGAAGGAAATGTTCCGTTAGATCAGATTCGTCTTTTTTCTGCTGATCCGAAACTCTCTTGTTATTGGAATCCGATGATTTTTTGTTCTCACTCCCATTTCTGTTCTCATTCCATTTCTGAAAAAAGAGAAGAAAATGAATGGACAAAATAAAAGAAAAAAAACATGAAAAATTAAATTATACTCTCTCCGTCTTAAATTAGTCGTTACATTTAATTTATTTCATTTTATAACCGTCGTTGGACAACAAACCCAATTTTTTGAGTTTACGACTACTAATGTTCAACTCTGTAGCCTTGTAACTTTGAACTTAATCCAGAAGACAAAAGAATTCCTATAAGAAATTGTTATTGGGACTATGGGAATAATTAACAATTGGGAGAAATTTGCCTTCGTAGAGGACTTCTTGATGGAACTAAAAGGTATTTGCGCCACATGATGAGGAAAACCACGAGCACCTTCCACGGTTAGCCTGATGGCGAGAGGACTGTAACCCGTGATACGTATACCACTGAATATATCTTACGTCAGCACTGTGGCTGGTGCAAGCCGGATGCGGAATTCGAATCGATCAATATATAGAGGTAATATACAGGTGTTAAAGGGAGTAGCCGTTTTCTAAAGTAACTAGTGTAAGATTTTACATGTTTAAAAGCCCAATTAAAAAGTATTTAACTTGGCTTTATTGGGCTTTAAATTTTACATATTTAAAGCTCAATTAATTTAGTTAAAATCCCAATTAAAAATGATTAAATATACTGTTGTGCCTTCAAATATAAAGAAAAATTCGTTTAAGGTTTATATGTTTCTCTATTAAGTTCATTTGAATCAGTTGTACATATATATTTAGTCTACACGTATTTCATTGGTTTTTTCTTTCGTTTGGCGCAAGCCCGGCAATTTTCAAATACCTACACTGCACCTGGCACTACTCGTTTTTCTTCGCTGGGGGGAGGGGGAGCAGAAATGAAATATTAATCTGGGGAAGGAAAAATAATCAATGTATGTAAATTTTGCGACGAAAATTTCCAAAAACTTAAAATGAATTTAAATTTTTTTTGTAGTAAAACATCTAACATGTTCGTATAGAAGTTTTCACATAAAACTTGTTAAACTTTTAAAATATAAAATATTGTATAATAAATATATAGAAAATAGACTTGTTAAACTTATTTTTAGATATAAAATATATACATTGGATATTTTTAAATGAAAACAATAATATAGCCTTATTTTTTGTGAAATTAAAGGAAAAAAGTATGAAAATACCATTTTTACGCATATTAAAAGGTTAAATCACAAATTTAAAAGTATTTTAATAAAAGGTCGGACAAACGAAAACTAAAAATAAAATAAAAACTCATTGTAATTAATTTAAATAATTTATCTGTCACTGTTTAACGTTTCATTCTGAATGCGCATTAAAAAGTTTATAGATTAAATACCCTATTAAATAGTATTATACAGTATTTATACCAATTTTAAAATTTCATTTTTATAAAAAAAAGAAATTAATTAATAAAATTAAAATTGGAGGCATCATCGATTGAACATTTTGAGTAGCAGATCAATAAAAATACTTAAGAATGTAATTTTATTTTAATTATTTTAAAATATGTCTTCTTTCTAAAAATTAAAAAAAAATTATATAATAAAATAGTATTAAATTAAGGATAACCGCATCTAATTTTGAAATGGTTATAATGTGTAAAAAGTTTCATATGTTCAGATAAAATGATTTATCTATTATTCCGAAAAAAATTTTTTTGGCAGAAAGACACACGTACTGAGGAGAGAAGGAAAGAACATCAATGCATGCTCCGGGATTCGAACCCGGAACATTTCTGATTTGAGGTCCCTGACCACCATACGTCCGGTCGACTTTACTTTTAAAAAAGTTTCGTCGATTTACTCGCAGGCATGCCGCGTGCGCGTAAAGTGCATGAAACACTACTACTTACATCAGTATTCTGCAAGGAATCTATTTCGCTTGTTGCGTTCTCTGTGATGTTATACAAAGTGCACACAACATTGTCGTTTTCAACAGATGTTGCCGCAGTGCTAAGTCTATGCTTTCTGGAAAACGGGAGTCTGAAGTCTGGTAATTTACTTTGGGAGCTGCGGACAAGACTGAATACGTCCATTTCATGAATGGAGCAATTACTTAAGGAACGAGCATATTTCTTGTAATTTTCCTCCGGAACTTCCTTTTCCGGAATTTGGGTAAAAATATCTGTCCCATTAGCCTTCATTGAACTTTCTGGAAGAAAATAAACACGTAAATTCCTCACACAACTGAGGGATAGTTCATTAAATGATAAATTTGGCACTGTTTCTAAGTTTAAAAACTAAAAAGATATGGACTGATGATAATTAAATGTTTACAATGCACACTTCTTTTTTCTTAATGAATGATTTGATTTTTTTTAAAAGATTTTTTTCTTATCAGAAATTAAATTATGTTCGAAAAATACAAAAAGACGTGATAAAAATCAATGAGATAAGTTAATGGCATTGTTCTTAATTGTAGCTTACATTTCTTTTATTATAATTTCAGTTTTAAGAAGCGAGGTAAATATTGCTAAAACACACAGAGTATCTAAGATTTAAAAATACCACAATTTTTATTTAGGCTATAAGATGTCTCATTATACTTTGTTATTTAATGAAAATGCTGGAAACTAGCATTTATCTGTAAACAATTCAAAAGGACATTTTATTTTAAAAATGTTTACGTTGACTAAACGGTGGCTTATCACTATATTTTTCCAAGTTCTTCAATTATTACAATTTAGTTTCTTTTTTCTCATTTTTCTCCTTTTATTCTGTTTATTCATTCACTTTTTTTCCCCCAAATGGATCGTGGTTATAATGCATAGCGCTTCTAAAGACTTTACGTGCAACAATAACTGAAAAAACATTTTTAACACGTTCACGCCGGGAAAAGTGAAAATACTGGTACGGGAAAAGAGATAATACTGGGGGAAGAACTATTTCAATATTAGATAATATTCGGGAGGAGTTAATCTATTCTCAGCAATAACAATTCACTCTAAGGATATTTATCACGGCGAAGAAGCAATTCAATATAAAAATTGCATCCGTTAAAAACAATTGGTAGTTATGGATTTTTATTATTCCCGGAAAAAAACTAAAAAATGAAATTTATTGTTACCAGTTTTTACTCCGGTGCGCTGCCAAGATGAGACAAACTAGCGTGACCCACCGGTGGGTCACCCCGGCGTGAACGTGTTAAAACAGCGCGTTTATAACAACACATATTGTGGTACAAATTATAATGATGAAAACGTAATACTATGATGATGAAAACGTTATATTGTAAGAAAATTTGGAATTGTTAGCTCTAATGACATCGTTAGATAGTGTACCAAAACAACTTAAGCCGCTACTTCTAATGTTACATCACTTTATTATTCTTTCTTAATTAAAGTACAATTAAATACATTAAGTAGGAAGTTGCATTAACTTTATGTATCCTTTTTTTTATCTTTTATTGGAAGCGAAAAGTCGAAATAGTGAATTTTTCAGATTAAGAAACTTTTTTAAACATTTCAAATACGCAGGTTATAAATTTAATATCAGCCTTGCCAGCTTATTCGGCCAGTTTCTTGGCCGAATAAGCTGGCTCTCTTCGGCCTGGAGTATTTTCCTCAATTGTTTATTTAGGTAGCAAAATTAATTAGTTAGTAATAAGTAGCGATAATCATAAATAGTGTATTTATCTTGAAAGGAAGGTTGTAATAAGATGTTTTTGCTTCTAGTGATTTATATTTTTCTGCAAATTTTCGGAAATTAGAACACCTCATAATTCAAAGATAGAAAAAAACACAATAAACTTGTACATTTTATAATTTTGTTAGTTTTTAGTTCTGGCTACATTTTGAAATTAAAAAAAAATTATTACTGGTTAGTTTCGTTACCACTATGAATATTGTGATGATCTAAAACAGTGGTTTCCAACTGCCGGCCAGGGAAGCCTTTTTTTGTGGCCCGTGAACTAAAATATATTGGTTGTTATTTTTTTGCGGACAATTTTCGTAAAAAATCTATATGGATTTGAAATACTTTTCTCGTTAATAAAAACCTAATTTCTTCGTTTCTGTGAAATTTATCATACCAACGGTGCAAATACAAAAATAAAAATTATTCAAATACAAAAATAATCGTGTATGTTGCTCTTTTTCATTTCATTGTTTTCGTATTTTGTGAATATAATTTAGCATGTGTGTATCAGAAATTTTCTCGAAAAAATTCTCCGATTTAACTTTTTGAAATTCTTTGACAACTTTTTACTTTACAAATTTTAACTTTTTGAAATTCTTGATTAACTTTTTGGAATCTATTTTCCGGTGTTTGCAGCAGACAAACCTCAATCTTGTCATTGAACGTTTTGTGTATTACTGTGTAAGTTTTAATACCAACCTTTCTAAAGTTTTATATCTTAACAATTAGATATCTGTTGCACATTAATTGTTTAATACATGGGTGCACACTAAAGTTATTATAGTCCGAATTTTTTAATATGCATTTAAATATTTTTAAAAATCTACTTCTTATTTTAATTTGTAATTCAATACCTTTATTTTGCACAACTTGGTAAAAATCTGACAGTAATATTTAATGTTCCTTCAAACATAAAAGAGTCCTACATAAAATTTTTATAAAGTCGAGGCCCGTCATTTGATTTGTGTTTTTAATTGTGGCCCCCGACCTCATGTAAGTTGGAAACCCCTGATCTAAAACATCGAATTAGGCGATTCTGTAAAATTTAATTTTGAAAATTGATTTTTTATCTTTGTACGTGCATCTAAATTAACTCAAGGAAACTCTTTTTTAAAAATTTTTTTTTCATTCTTGAAAAAACCAGACATTAGAATTCGCCATTATATAATAATAACACAAATATCCATATTTTGATCTCAAATCAAACAAATGCAAATTTTAAAATGCAATTAGTATAATAATTTATACATCTTCTGACGCATTTGCGGTTATGGAAAATTATTTTTTTCCAGTGGTAGAGAACTAAAGCAGACAATTCAAAACAAATAGAACATGCAGACATAACTTATCTAATCAGAACTTAATATAAATCTCTTATCAGAACTTAATATCCGCTTACAAGCTAACTCAAACTGCAAAATCTCAGAATCCGCAACAGGTGGAGATATATTGTTACACATCCATACGCAAGCTTGTGATCTCAGAACAGAGGCGGCTTTTAAGTCCATGTCTAGTTGAAGATCAGGCATCAGTTGAAAACAAACAGAGTTATGCCGGGATTCGAGCCCGTTACTTCCTATCTACATCTACAGAACGTTTGGTAGATTGACGAGACCTCTTATCCAGAGAGGCCCCAGAAGATGAATTGTTTAGCTGTCCTATTGCGTGTCTTTTTATATTATCAAATAATAAACCCAGGGCTGCCAACTGCAATATTTTCTGAAAAATATTTTATAGTGTGGAAGGCAATTAAAAAGTAATGTTTACAAGATATTTGCTAACTTTGCCGCCAAACTCTTATAGGCCTTACCACGAGAGTACAGGAACAAACAGGCATTTCATATGCACATTTGAATCATTTGCGTGTAGTGGTGTAGAAAACAATTTTGAATTAAGTTTGTTAAATAAAGAATCATAATGAAATAATGAACTTAGCTATACCCCTAGACGAAGCTTTTCTGAAAGAGTGTAGAAAGTTGGAAACCCTGTGAACCGTGGTTTAAAAAGCATACTAATCGAAAAAAGTTCGTCAACCCTGGCCTAAATATTCTATGCAATACGAGATTTTTAACTTTATTAGTAACCAAATCACCTACTTTTGCTTTTGGTGTATTTTTTGGACTTATTTTATTCCTTTATTTATTTATTTGTTTCAAGAGTAAGTGTATAAATTATATTATTATATCACAAGAAAAAAAATTCTAATTGACTAATTTTTTAAAACACTGACAAGAGAATTGTTGTAAAAGATAAATATTTTTGTTATATTAATACTATTTTACTATATAATAATATTAATAATTTATAATTATGTTGATTATTAATATATTTTATAATTACAAATAATATTAATATTGAATGCAATATTAATATTTTATTAAAGTTAATATATATTTATAATTACATTCTTCTTCCGCAAAATCCTTTCTTATACATTTTCTCATTAAAGTTCGCATAAATTCAAAGACTAGACCAGTGCCATAATGCCGTAAACAATTTTTTCTCTCTCAAGGACACAATTTGTAGCTAAAACAGAGGAAGAAGATATGAATTGGGATTTTTTTCAAGCTCTTGAATAGACTAATGACAGATGACGTCAAATTATTTTCTTCTCACCGTATATTCTTGGAACATAACTGCTCACGTATATCAATAAAACGAAAGAAAGAAATGCAAATGAAGGTTATTGTATAAGATGATACAATTACTAATGTGATTTCGTGACATTAGCTTATATAGTTATGAAAGTCACGACCTTGGAATTTCCAGGCATGCTTAATGAGTTGGGCTATGCCCTAATTTCAAATACGATGTTTCTTCAAAGCAAATATCTAAAGGATATACAACGGTCTTTAAAACAAACATCCGTACATGAAAGATGATACTTTAAGTGTGTGAAAAGAACATTAGCGAAAGTTTTTTTTTTTTTTTATTTCTTCAAGGGCACATTATATTCTATGAGAAATGGATACTTAAATTGAACAAGCGCTACAACTTTTCCAAGGGGTATTAAGAATAATTTTTCTTGTAATTATTTTGCAACATTTTAAAAAGCTACTTATTTATTTAAAGTAATTTTTCAAGCATCATTATGCATTCTACAATTTATGAGTAATTTTGTCTATGAAATAAATGCCTATGAAATCAGGGCTCTTACTACTGTTGATCCCTGATATCAGTGATTTTGTACAGAAAACTTAAATGAAAAATAAGAGAAAAAAATTAGTTGCGATACGATATAACTCTAAGCGATATATTTTTTGTATTTTGAAATAAAACCAGCATATAATTTTTTACATTCATTTGGCCGTTATTTTAAGTGGGATATCTGAAAATTAAGAGTTTTATAATATTCAACGTAAGTGACTCACGCTAGAAAACTTACTGTTTAAAAATGAATGAAATAAATTATTTGGGTGGTGTATTTGTCCAAGGTCAAGCATTTCTATAACGCTTGAAGGTTCCACGTCAGTGGAAGAATAATAAGGAATTTTTAAACAATAATTTTAAAGATTATAATTTTTCATTTTAAAAAAACTATTTCTGATATTGAAAATTAGAAAGCTTAGTTTTATTTTTTATTTATATAAATGTATGCAGTAACCCTGGACCAAGGCAGGTCTTTTGAAGGCAGTGTTCTCCACAAATCTATTGATAGAAATCAAAATGGAAAAAATTAGATTTAAACATTTTCACATGATTAATAAAGCGGAACTCTTCTAAAGGCGAATGACGAAGTTTATATCATTTAGCGACAATTCAAATGAGCAATGAAATGACAACTGAAATGAAAAATGATTATAATACAAAAAAAAAATCTGAAATTGTTCATTCTTAAAAAGAAATTTAGAAAAAAAAATTGGCAATCGATTTCTATAAATTAACGATAATCTAAGGGGATCCTATGATATTCATTTTCTTTGGAGCCCAGCCATACTTTTGTCGAAGACCTCGCTAAGTCTATCTACGGCTCTGTGAAAGGGAAGAGCTTTCGTTGGAACTCAAAATTTGCTAATATTATTTTTCTTAGTAAATTAAATTTTTTATTAGGTAAATAATAAACTGAAAGTAGCAACTTACATTTATGAAGAAACGAAGTGATTTTCAAACAAATTTAATAATAGAGATTTTAAGGTCATTAAAATTTCTCACTTCTTTTTAAAATTGTAAATATTTGCAATAGAATAATTTCCGGATAACTTAACACGTTCACGCCGGGGTGACCCACCGGTGGGTCACGCTAGATTGTCTCATCGGGTGGCTCACCGGAGTAAAAACTAGTAACAAATAAATTTCATTTTTTAGTTTTTTCCCGGGAATAATAAAAATCCATAACTACCAATTGTTTTTAACGGATGCAATTTTTATATNGTGAAACTTTTAGAAATACGAACTGAAACTTAAATGTTAGCGCATGCGCGCATCCATTGGATAACCTCCCCCAAATACTTCTAGATTAGTTGGCCTTTACGTACGAGATCTGGATGTAAGACGTTATGTTTGTCTGCTTGTTAATTGTATACCATTGTTAATGTTGTTTTGTTGAATAAAATATGTTATTAAATAGTGCTGGTATTATCCTGGACCTTCTAAACAGTGACATAGTTCTTCTACCAGTATTTTCTCTTTTCTGTCACGCTTTCAGGCGCAACACCCGGCGTGAACGTGCTAATATAAAAATGAATTCAACATAAGTATTAAAATTTCAAGAACAGATATCGTCCCAATGTTACGTTAACAATTCTGCACTACTTTTTTCATAAGCATTTATTTAATCACGGAATTTGTCCGGGTACTAATTTACAATCCAGCAGCCTTTAACGACTCCCTCGGTTTTTTTGGAAATTTCAAACTTGGCTCTTGGTCACAATTATAATGCAAGCTTCTATTTCTTTAAAAGTTTGTTACCTGAACTTAAAAAAAAAATCAAGAATAAAGTTTTTATTTTATTCAAGAAATGTGTTAAAAACTGCTTGAGTGGAAAATCGCTCTCCGATCATCACACCTCTGCATCCCCCATTGTTTTTTCCAAATGCTGACATAATATTCGAATAGTCCATAATTTTCGCACTGCAAAACGTCAATAAGAAAAGTCTTTGTTAGCAATGATCTCTGTAAGTTTGTTATGCAACTAGTTTTACTAGATTGTATATAACTACAGAGACTTGACAAAAGTATGGAACTCTTCTGTACTAACTCAGTGACGTGAGCTTCTCTATTAACTGCATCTGTTTTTTTGAAAATTTTACTTAGCAAATCTGTTAACTTATTTTACAAAGATCATAATCAAAGCTTTTTGAAATCAGTTTTCAATATCAGCTTTACCCTAGTGAAATTCAGACAAATTCTTTCACATTTCTCTCAAACTTCGCTATTAAAATGCAAACATTTACATAGTTAATCATGTTCAATTGAAAGTGTCATTTTTAAAATCATATCTGAATGTTATCACTGACATTTCTCTCAAGATTTATCTTATCTGTAGTTCATATAAAACATATCAAATCAGGCTAAGAAATTTATTTCGAATAATCTCAGAGGTGTAACAATAAAATGCTCCTACATTTTAAGATAAGCTTATCTTATTTCCCAATATTTATTTGGATCAATACATTGTCAGTATTCATGAAAATTTGTAAATAAACATTATTCTTTCTATCAGCAATTTCAATGTATTTTTGTGAAATAAAGTGAGTGTGTAACATCAAAATAGATTTTCTGTAGATGTAATAATTTTCTTAGCTACAATTTATAGAATAGCAAAATCTTTCAATTTATCAACGTAATTCGATATGACATAAAATAATTCACTACACTTAGTCTTATAACTCGAATTTCCCGCCACTTTTTACTTTTTGATATTTCTTATATTCATTCTCGTAAGATGTTCAATTTCTAAAAGTTATGATACACTTCTCATTCAAACAAAAGGTAGCTATATATTTTTAAAAATTATGTATGATATAATTTATCACATTAAGAAAACAACATACTCGCTTACGTTTCCTCTTTTTGTACAGGGCTGGGTGTTCAATCCACATAGGTGATTTCAAGATCAAAGATGGCGGCAGGACATTGAGGAAAATTCCACCAAGAAGAAGAAAACAGCCAAATATTCCATAATAATCCAATATACTCTCCATCATAATTGGATAGACAAAACTTCCAATACAAGCACCAGATAAAACAATACCAGAAGCTGTGGCCCGATACTTTTCAAAGTACTGGTTTACAACAACTTGAAATAATGTGTTTCCTAAGGAAAATCCTATACCTAAAAAAAATCAACATCTTATTTATTTGAATATTTCTTATTAGCTATGGGAAAATGTAGTTATTACTTTCAATTTTGTCTATATAGTAACAAACCTGTTAACCTTTTCCACTTTTTAAAATTTTCCCGGTGGTAAAACAACCATGTTATAATATTTCTGGAAAGGGTTAATTCTTATTTATTAAAGAAATGACTTTATTTTCCTCACCATGTATCAAACCCCAAAAGACTGTAATCCATGGAACAGTTGGAGCAAAGCAACTTAATATTGATCCAGCAGCAGCAACAACACCACCCACGAAAGTAACAGTTCGAATTCCAAATATTTGTCCCAACACTCCCACAATTGGACCTAGAAAAATGAAAAATATTTTTAAGAAAATAATAATAATCTCCTATAATAATTACGTAATTAAAATTTATTTGGGAATCTGCTCATACCAAACCACAAAATAGTTTTTGTTCTCTGCTAGCGCAAAAAATCTTTCAAACAATGATCAGATTTTATTGTAGCAAAATGCGCAAGTCATGGTTATGAAAATCAACATTCTCCAATAGACTGCAAACTATGTGATATGTTTTGCAAATTATATTTGGATTAAGTGCACTCGAGTAAGGTTTTGGGTATAATTTGTCGATTACTAATTTAACCCATTACACTCTAATATTGGGAACATGACTTAGTAATAATTTAATAAAAGTACTAATTAATAGTTGTTTCAATCTTCGGATTTATTTTTTAAAACTTCGATGTTCATGGAGACCTTACTATATTATTAATATCTTCAGTGTTTGTTGCGAATGCATATTCAGGTTTATGAGCCCTTGTCAGGATGAAGAACACATAGCATAAATTAGAGAATGACAATACATCCAGTGAAAACAGAAATAAAATTAATGACTCTTATACTTTCATATAAAATTATCAAGAAGCAATGAAAAACTAATTTGCAAATATCATACTAGGCATCCATTACATAATCATCAGACCTGCTAACTACTAGGCTTTTTGCAAAATATTTTATAGAGTGGTAGGCATTTCAAAACCAAATTTTTGGTGACTGGCAGTCAGTGACCTCTCAAATGGAAAGCGTTAAAAACCTCACCATTAAAGGGAACAAAATGGCGTTGCATATGAACTTTTAAATCACTTATATGTAGTGGAATATAAGTTTAAAAGAATAAAAAATAATACATTAAAAATAAACATAGCTACCACTAGAATAAAGTTTTACAAAATACGAAGAAAGTTGGCAGCTCCGCATAACTCCCATCCATGTAAAGTGCTAGTGAAATAAAAACTATGATTGGCAAAGTTTCTTCAATTTTGCCTCCACTTAAAAAACTTCACCCAATTGTCTTATCTTATGTATTTGTGTTAATTGTTTATGCATACTAGTGGCCGAATCGTAGTAAATCATCTTTATTATTTCAAATGCCAAAGTGTAATGTTTGCTACCATTTTAAACATTCGAGAAAAAAAATTTCGCTTGAATCGTATAATTAGTAATTTATATTCTTATTATGTTTTAAAATTAGTTATTATGAAGACTTTTGAAAATGTCTGTATTTTTGGACAATCTGTATTTTTGGACTGAAATTGTGTAGTTCCATTTTGATTTTACATTTTTTATAAGTAACAATAGATTAAATTACATATGGCAAATGTGGACAAAACCAACTCAAAAAAAGTTGTTTTTTTTTAAATTATACATCCGAATTGCCTACCACTCTATAAAATATTTTACAAAAAGCGTGGTAGTTGACAGCGCTGTAAGACATGATCAAAATTACGGTTAGTAAGGTTTTATCAGCAAATTTATAAAAAATTGTTCATACTTTACGCGTTACTTTTTAATCCACACTATTGTGTGGCATCATTCACTGCGCGACTGGATGGGTTGTAAGTACATTTATTTCAATGAAGCGGATTACGTAATAACTTTATTCTTTCTCACACTACAGCTACCAGTTACTTATGTTTATCAGCTTTTTAAAAGCATTTCAAATAAAAACGGAAGGAGTTACAGAATCGTGAAACCTCCTATTTCGTTTTTTATTATCTCTAGTATTTCTGCGTGCTTGATATCCAGTTAGAATTTATTCAGGTTTATATACACAATGGAGGTCCTTCCTGTTTTTACATTCATTTATTATTATTATCTTATTAGATAAAATTATTGATATTGTTTAATAGAATAAACATTCTAATTTATATGCGCATTTCATCAAAATTCAGTTTTTTTTTCTTAGCGCATTGTACCACTGTATTAAAATTGAGTCACCATTTCTTATATTCTTGTAGAGGTAATGCATAATTTTCTTTGCGATATCGTGACAAAAAATATACACTTCCTTGTCAACGTACTAAAAATAACTTCTTTTTATTTTTACTTCAGAACAGTGTTATTCTTTACTCACCACTTATTTAAAATAAATTATTAAAATTAGTTGTGTCTTACCTTTTTTTTTTTTTTTTTGGTTATTTTACAAAATGCTTAACTGCAAACTACAAAAAGATTTTTAAAGCAGGAATGCTAATTGAAGCTTCCGAAATCAGATCACTAGCCCACTTTTTCACAAACGATGCTGTTTTATCAGATAAATTCAATTAATTCCTCACTATTTTTAATCTTTTATTGGTACTTATAATTTAATTTATAAAATTAATTAATAACAATGCTAGCGATTGGCGCTGCAGTCTTTGCTCTAACTGTTCATTACTCTGATTTCTTATGGGTGCTGCGATTCAACCAATGGCGTCGCAAATGCTGCAAATAGGTCAAAATTATTTTTACTTTTTCTGTATCATGATTGTATTTCCCTTAGTTTTCCTTTTATTTTTCTTTCTGTTTTCTAAACTCATGATGAAAATTAATTAACGACTTCACAAATCAAGATTAAAAAGGTAAAAGGCCTTTTCGAAGCCTAAAAGCCTTGAGCAATAACATGACTATGACTATGGCTGTTTTACATTCATCCATATAACAACATAGTCGGAATTCAAAGATCATCTATCCACATGAATATTCCTTTACTTCATTTGCATTCCACCACCTCATCGTAACACCAAAAGATTCAACATAAAGATGAATGGGAAAAGCGATCTCTATTGCCCAGATATTTAATAAAGTTCAGTTCAGGTTGCTTCACAGTCCAACTGCTCCGATGTCCGATGCCTATTTGCTCCGGACAAGGTATAAATATTTTCGAGAGGCAGTCTTTTAATGTATCATTCTTGGTTTAGTAAATTCGATTTATAGAGTTTTTACTTAACACTACTTCTAAATAATTCAAAAGCTTATGCGAAACGCCACTTTGTTACAGTTCAGCCTTGTTGAAACTTTTTAAAAACTTGGTTAAATTAACCGTAAATCTGCAAATTTTAGTTTGAAGCTCTCTGCCGTTTTTTAAAATATATGGTCGAATCCAGTGCAGTTGGCAGCTCTGCTTGCCACGATCGGTCCAATAAGTCCGGATGTATCAGCTGGCTCCTGGTCTTAATCAGGTCGTCTAGTAAATAAGCCCTGTAGGTCACATCAGAGCAGTGGTGGCTAAAGGGGATAGAGTGCTCGCCTCCCAATGAGGTGAACCGGGTTCGAATCCCAGCGGTAAAATATCCTCAGTAGTGGACGACTCACGGGTTAGAGTCCCATTGCCGTTAGGCTAACCGTGGGAGGTTTTCCTCTCCATGTAACGCAAATGCGGGTTAGGTCCATAAAAAAGTTCTCCACGAAGGCAAAATTTTCCCAATACTTGATCCAAGAGTTCTCTTGTCTTCTGGATCGGATTCAAAATTGCAAGCTACGGAGTTGAACATTGGTAGTCGTAAGCCTTTAATTGTGTCAGCTGTTTAACGACGGTTATAAAATAAAATATAAAATCTAGGTCATGTCAGAAGATAAAAGTAAAAAAGGGGGTAAGATAACATTAATACAAAAAAGATACGAAATTCTCACATGGCTAGCCACGACGACAAGAGGAAATAAACCCTTGATCCGTCTACCGCTGATTTAAACGTCAACACTGTGGTCAGTGCGAATCGAGAGTAGAATTCGTATCTACTAGCTGCCACGGGGTATGAAATTTTAAATCTATACTGAATCCTAATAGTTAAAATTTTCAGCATCTTTAAGAAGAAAAATAGATACCAATTTCTAATTTTTGGCATCAAATCGAATTAAATCCAGTACTGTCAGTCTGGCGGCATATGATTTTTTTTATAATATTTATAACTTCGTGAATGTGGCTGTTTACATTCACTAAGGGTTCAATGTTTGCAATACAATTTCTCTAAACATATTTATGTGACTGAGTACCTTTGGAAATCTTTTGAAGTACGATTTTTAAAAAGGATTTTCTCTCCTGGCTCAATTATTTTCTAAACGAAAATATTAAAGTTTAACTTAAACAGAAATAAATTGCTAGAAAAGTAATTCCACTTTACAAATTGGTAATGCTGTTTTATCTCTGACACAGTCCAACATAGGTTCACAACGGCAAATTGATAAAATCGGACTGAATGCGAAATAGGGCCGTAAAGATCTTTCTCGAGTAAGAAAACAGCTAAATTTGATGAAAAATTTACCTATGTGCATAGCAATCGATTTAAGAAAAAAAGAAAAATATTATTACTATTAAATGCATAATGCTTTGAACAGATTATAAAACATTAAATACTATTTCTGTCGGAAGTAATTACTATTTAANATACGACTATAATTACCAAAGGGGTAGAAACTCTATTTTTTTATTATCTCTTTATTTATTTAATCGTAACTACTACTAGGACTTACACTTCAAAGTTTATGTAAAAAAATATTGATAAAAGGTGGACTTATTCACAATGGCTTCTGAAATTATTATACAATATATTCAGAAGCTATTAAAGAAAGGGCTGTCTAACCTAGAAAAAAGTAACCAACGAGTAAATCCTTTAATAACTAAGAAGATTATTATTTATTTCATCAAAATTTCCAAAAATCAGAAAATATCAAAAAATGGACTTAACCGCATTGGCTTCTGAGCGGCTCATTTGAGAATTGAATATGTAGTGGTAGACAAGTAAATAAAACAAACCAATTATATTCATAAATTAAGCAAATTTTTAGAAATATATTTACTACCACTTTCTAATTTTTAATAGGTTTATAATAAATGGTTCTTTCACTAATTGGTTCCTTCACTAATTGGTTCATCTTCATAGTGGTCTGATCGGACTACCTACAAAAAACCGTGTGGAGGCTTTCAGTTATAGGAGGCGTTGGACACAATCCGACATTGGTCCACAACTGCAAATTTATAAAATCGGACTGAATGCGAAATAGGGCCGAAAAGATCTTTCTTACTCGAGTAAGAAAACAGCTAATTTTGATGAAAAATTTACCTATGTGCATAGTAATGGGACTCTATGTGTGATTTTAAAAAGTAGAAAAATATTAATACAAAGTATTGATGATTTTTTGAAAAATTTTGTCAAAATTCAATGATAATGAAAGTGAAAAATGATAAAGAATTTCGAAATTTAATAATTTGATATCTGAAAATCTATCTATTTCTTTCTGAACTAATTACAATTTAATATGAGTATAAAATATTTCGAATTATTCTTTAAATATCTTTTTCAAAGGCGTACCAAGTATTCCTTATGAGTATTCCCCTCTAAGGCAGCAGTTTTTAAAAGGTGTTCCACGGACCGGAGCTCTGAGAATTAAAACTTTAAAATAATAATTAAATAAATAGAACTATTAATTACACTTATATCAATTACACTTATTTAAATTCAAAATGATTGCACTTATTTCAATTCATAATAGTTTAGAACTGTTCCTCGAAAACCATAATTCATCTTATTTTTTCATTTTCAGCCATATGAACACAAAAAACAAATTCAGATACCCCGCCTGACCTTTGGAAGTAACTGTCTGGCGTAACTCTTAAGTTAAAGATGATGATCAAATCGATGAAAACATTTTATTCTTCACAATATATACTTTCAAGAGCAGTGGTGTCTCAGGGGATGGAGCGTTTGCTTTCCAATTAGATAAACCGGGTTCGAATCTCAGCGATGACTGGTTGATACGAGCTCCGCACCCGGCTCACACCGACGACAGTGCTGACATAAAATAGCCTAAGTGGAAGACGGATCATAGGTTAGAGTCTTCTTGCCGTCAGGCTAACCGTGGGAGGTTTTTGTGGTTTTCCTCGCAATGTAATGCAAATGAGGGTTAGTTCCACCAAACAAGTTCGCCACAAAGTCACATTTCACCCAATATTTAACTTGTCTTCTGGATAGAGTTCAAAATTACAAGGATACGCAGTTGAACATTGGTTGTCGTAAATCCAAAAGGTTGGAACGGTTGCTCAACGACTAAAACAGCTCCATTATTTAAAGAGCTGAGCCGAAATAAAAGTCATGCAAGCATACTCAAAACAGGCGCGGATTAGTAATGTAAAATTCCGTTTGATTAAAAATATCCATATTGTAATCCTGAAAATAAGCACTCACCACATGGCGAGTCAACAAAAAGAAAAAAATTTTTTGGCGCTTTAAATTAAATAAGCAACCGGTCACTTTTTCTCATCATTTTTTGAAAAAAAAATCTTTTAATGATAAAAGTACATCTATGCAGAAAGACTCTGGAAAATAGAATTTGAATTTTCATTAAATTGTCCAATGTTTCCATTCAAAATTTTATTCGTTCAGATTCACGTGGAAGAAGAGTTCCTTAACAATTCACTTGTTATGCATGCATTAAATGTATTTTGCCTCCCAAATATTTTAAAACAAAGTTTTTTAAAGTCAGTAAATTTGATTGAATTTTCTCACATGTTTACATTATTATTATTTTTTTGTTGTTGAATTAACTTCTTATAGCCGTAGATTATATGTAATATGATTTTTGCTTAAATATAATTTAATCCAAGCAAAATAGTTTTCAAAAAGTGGCTATTAAATAAAAAGAACCTCTCGATATCGGTCACCGACTCATTAGGTCTGAGGAAAAAGGAAAAGTTATGAGAGTCTACCGACCACTGGTTACTTAAATTTCCAAGCCTACCTAATTGATGGGACCACTTTATGTTATTTTCACTGATTAATAAATATCCTTGAAAATGTCACTTACCTACCTCATCCACGAAGTTCTTCTTTTATTGTTCCGCAGCCGAAATAAATTGGGAACCGCTGCCCGAAGACAGACCTATTCATTACTCGCAATGCTTTCCCAAATATTTTAAAAATTAGACATTTAGACATTTATTATTAGACATTTTAAAAATTAATTATGTTTCATGTCGATTTTTCACTTGTAATGTTCGATTCTCATATCGATTTTTCACAACTCATATAGATTTTTCACAAAACTCAGAAAAATGAATATAAAATAAAAGTTCAGAGTTTACCTGAGAGATACCTAATTGCATTCCTTACGGTGAATGGCACAGATGCTTCCTGTCTGGTCACTTCATATTCGTCTATGATAGCTACATATAAGATTCCAATCATTCTTGTGATTCCTGACAGAATCATATTCACTATACAAGCCGCTAAGGCCACAACCCAAGCATACCCCTTGTCTGGTTCTTCTAATTTGTACATTATTATTGAACAAAATTGAATAAATAAATAAAATGCCTTTAAGAGTAACAGAAGTCATCAAAACATAACTCCCTGATGGTATTAATAGCTAACACGGGTCGTGGATTATACGTCACAGCTTGGAAGCCAACTCAAGATTTTGTCAGTTCAGCTGACAATCTTTGCAAAGCGTGACTATCTTTTGATTTTAAGTTCACGCATTTTCAATCGTGAGTAATTCCAAGGGTGATGGTGTTATTTCCTTAAAAGTAGTCATTTATTAGTAATAAATGCGGTGTCTGGTTTTCAGTCAAAGAATTAATTCAACGAGATGCTTATGATTAAATGAGAAAACCATAGATCTATTTTATGAGTAATTTTTTCTCATTATCCATGTACTTTGATGAATGATCATTAGTTTCTGAGGAATATTTTTGTTCGATTATTTTCGCTGAAGTGTTTGATCATCTCAAATTAAAGAATGAATTACCTATTATATTTGCCTAGACTGGTACTTTTTAGATGTATTAGTTTTTCGATTGCTCAATGGATTCCTAATTTTATTAAAAAGACTTTTGAAATTCTTTTCTCCTTTTATTCTAATTAAAATAGTTTCTGCTGATTAATGCGTGTGACTGTCTAAAAATTAGGTTATTTTTAAGATTTATTTTTTCTTTCTTGATGGTATAATTTAATTAAAATTGTGATTTCACGTTGAGGATTCAAATGCATATGTGAAAGTTTAAAAGGAAAATTAACTTTTCTATATAGTGTAACGTCATGTATTCAATCAAGTTTCATTATTTAATCGGATATTCTTTCTTCATCGATGCACATGACAATTTCGTTTGTATGTTTTCTAAATTTAAGCCAATTGTGAGAGGCCAAAATCGCTTGCTGAACCAAATCATGCCCCGCCGTGTCTTCCTCCCTCCCCCCTTATTCCAACTTATATCTAATATTATTCATTTTATTATCGTCGTTGAACAGCTGACCCAGTTATGAGTTTCGACTACTAATGTTCAAATCCGTAGCCTTGTAATTTTGAACCCAATCCAGAAGACAAGGGAACTCTTGAATCAAGTATTGGGAGAAATTTGCCTTTGGACTCTTTGATGGAACTAATCCGCGTTTGCGTTACATTGAGAGGAAAACCACGAAAATCTTCCACGGTCAGTCTGACGGCAAGGGAACTCTTACCCATGATCCACCACTGAAGACATTTCACGTCAACATTGTGGTCAGTGAGAGCCGGATGCGGGATTCATATTGACCAGCCATCGCTGGGATTCGAACCCGGTTCACCTCATTGGAGGGCGACGCTCTATTCCTTGACCACCTAGGCTCAATATTATTAATTTTCGTTTTTATATTTATCGACTTTCAACGTCAATGCTCATACTGCTATATATTGCTGAATACATCGTTACATATACAGTTATATACTGAATACATCGTAAACTCGAAAATTTTGCGCCCTGAGCCCATATAAACCGCAACTGAAGTGAACGTGGAATTAGCGGCGAAAAAAATGGCTATTATTTCTTAAAAAATTAAAAAAGAAAGTAAGAAAATTCATTTTGTTAATGAAATTAAGTCGTAGACAAACTAAAAAATTACGAACAAACAAATTTTCCTCGTTTAAAATAAAAAATTTAAAAAAAATGCGAAATTTCGAGGAAAAAAATTAAACTTTGATCTTAAAAAACAATATCTTTTTAATTAGTCCATTGATGATAGTTTTAAATTCCTTACAAAATGAAAATAAATAAATAAAAGAAATAACAATAATAATAATGAAAAAAAAAAATTTCGCTCCGGTTTATGAAACATTATCATTCGAGTTAAAGATATTTAAGTCGTTGCTAGTTTGTAAAAGAGCTTCTTTTTTATGGCTGTATCTTTCTATCTCTAAAAATAAACAGAATACTATTTTATTTTATGACTTGCCTTGAACAGTCAACACAACTTTGAGTTTAGGACTATAAATGTTCAACACCGTATAACCTTGTAAGTTTGAACCCGACCCAGAAAACAAATCAACCCCTTGGGACAAACTAGCCTTCGTAGAATACTTTCTGTTGGAACTGATCCCCATTTACGTTACATGGAGAGAAAAGCCACGAAATGGTTAGTCGGTTAGCCCCACGGATAGGAGATTCTAATCCATGATCAGTCTGCTTCTAAAGATATTTTAACATCAGCACCGTGGTCTGTGCGAGTCGGATGCACAATTCGAATCAACCAGCCACCGCTGGAATTCGAACCTGGTTCCCCTCGTTGCGAGGTCAACACTCTATCCCTTAAGCCACTGCGTCTTGCAGAATAGCATTTAAGATTTATGGTTAGATAAAGTATCGTTTTTATTCATACAAAATTTCATTTTGTTTTCGCTATTTTATATTTTGCACATTTATACGATCTAAGAAAGGTGAAGAAATTTAAAAAATTGTTGTCCTGTTAAATAATATGTTTAAAACCAAAGCTCTTCCTCAAATAAAAAAGTAAAGAGAGGAAATTTTTCCGGTTGATGTGACAGTGTGTCGTAACAAAAATACACCCGCAGAACACATATGGGTGGTGCTCTGCGGAGTCAAGGTCTGATGAGTCATATTTGCAACCAAGAAGAAATAAAAACTCAGCTTACATAACTTTGAATACATCATTTGTGTGCTTTCTTAATTAGGACTATATTTAAAGAAACATAATTATTTTCTCCCATTCATAGACACATGAATGTTCTCTAATGTTAAAGAAATTAATTCCAAACACGTTTTTACTGTTGTAACTCCAATTATTATTGACACCCAACCGTTTAATTAGGTATAAAATATCTATTGCATTGAAAACGGTGTATTTAGGACCGCAAGGACTTAATTTTAAAAAAATTATGCACAAATATTATGACAGTTTATTTTATTTTTTATTTATAATTAGCGAAAAATAAAGAACTGACAAAAGAAAAAAAATTATCATATACTGATAATATTGATGTAGTAAGACACTAATTGTGAATAAAAATGTCTCATAATAGTCAAAAGCGAGAAATAATCTTTACTTGAGAATGAAAATACAATTCTATTTAAACTATTTGTATTAAATATTATACTATCCTCCCCTCTGACAGTATTAAAAAGTAATAAAAAAATTTTTTGATTACTTTTTTTTTTATTAAAAAAAAACTTGGCAGACGGTTCAAGTGAGATTTTATTTCTGATTCGAAAATAAAGTTTTAGTCGCTATTGTTTAGTTCTTCATTGCTAGGCGAATTTGTTTTTCATATTTTGGAACATCTCTTTACAATAAAAATACCACTGCGATTTAGTAAGTACATATTTCAGTGATTTGCACATGATCAAGACTTTCTTATTTTAATTGAACATCGATTGAATAAGTAATTACTTTATCTATCATATTAAAACTACGAAATATAGCGGACACCTTTATGAATGTTTAACAAATGAATTGTTTCTGCACTATCTCAGCGCTGACCAATACTGGAAGATTCAAACATGGCCGACGATTTGAAAATTCGATGAACGAAAAACGGAGGGAAATAAAAATGCATGATATGCTACTTTGAAACTGTGTTAAGTTCTTACCAAGTTTCAAAATTTAATAACTTATCTTGAAAATCGATGACGTTACCACCTGAGAAAGCTATAAAACGAAACTCAGTAGCATAACGGACCATTCAAAGTGAAAATATTTATACTGGCATATGGTAACTACCTTTTCAAACTGTTAAACGTTTTTGCTACAGTGGCTATTTTGAAAACAATGCTTTATAGCTTTCCTTAGTTAGTAGCACCATCTGTTGATGAACTAAGTATTTAATTTTGAAATTGGGGTGAGAATAAATACTTTAGCTTCCTAAGCAGAACGTAAAATCTGTATCTCCTTCCGTTTTTCTTTGCTATTTTTCTAACCGCCGGTCATTTTAAGAAAATAGAACTTAATAGAATAGAACTTAAATATTCAATAAACTGTGCATAAAGATAGGAAATTAGTTCCATAGCAATGAAAATCTTAACCAAAGAAAGTAAATTCAAATTTCCACTAAAATTTGTATTAGTTCATAAAATTTGGGGAAGGGGAGAATTTGTGCAACAGAAAACTAGTGATTTAAAATAAATTCTGGTGATTAGCAAGAAAAGAAAAAAAAATTAAAAATAATTTTTGCCTAAAAAGAATTATATATATATATTTTTAAGCTTACCGATATAATTATTTTTAATTTTATGATCTTTCAATTATCTTATGAAAATTGGGGATAATTTTCCTTATTCTATAAATTTATGGAATAACTCCCCCCGCTTTGAATTTTCGTGCCTTTAAGTTTTACACTCTATACCATAGGGCAAAATCTTCTTCTTCTTAAGGGTCAGATACCAGCCAAGGCCATCTCAGTCAGTTTACCCTATCTAGATCTATTCCATGCTATATTTCTCCGCCCAATAACTCTCAAATCCTTTAACCATTTCACTACTCTTAACTAACCAGTGTGTTCTAGATCTTCCTCTTTTTCTTTTGCCCTCTGGTGTTTGGAAGGTTATTTTTTAGCAAGATTTTCATCTCTATTTCGAAATACATGTCCTAGCCACCTTATTTGAGAAACCTTAATCATTTTTACTAAATAGGTTCTTTTTATTTTGGTTGTAATGAATTCTCCAGGTTCTGTTTCTTCTTACTGCACCAAAAATGTTTCTTAATATTTTGGGCAGAATCAGATTCCCTAAAATCAAATAAAAATAGATTATTCATAACTATTCATATTAAATTGCCCTAAATAAAAAAGATTATGCTTCTATGTAAAGTAAAAGTGCAAAGTGAGTGAGAGATAATAATTATGGATGTTTCTTTGCTTTTCTCAAATGAGCAAGAATATTTCTCCTTTGAATACTTATCTCAATCAAACAAAACAAAAAGTGGGAAGTGAAAAATATGATATTCAAACTACAGTTTTCAACACATGGGACTGACAGAGAATTAAAAATCAAAATGCAATACTGATCCAGTAAGTAATGCAAAATATATATATATATATATATATATATTTTTTAAATGAATAAGAACCTAAAGACCATTTTGTTATTATGCAAGGAAGAGCAGTTTTTATTATTAATTTTCAAAAAAGAAGCATTTGTTAAGATTAAAGTAGAAAATTTTATAAGACATACAATTTTTCATTAAAAAATTTGGATTTTATTGTAAAATAAAGCTCTTGTCAAACCATAATAATCTTATTTATTAATGCAGAGGAAGATATCAAAGACTTGTGGTTAAAACTCAGAAGTGGTTGGACAAAAATGTTACAATTATCTAGCAAGTCAATTTAAAAAAAAGAAAGGGCTTCAAATTAAACAACTTTTAGTTTTCATCATTTTGTTTTCAATGATTAGGATATTCATATCAAAATGACCAACCTTTCCCCAGAGAACACTGAATCAATGTTCAAAAACTTTTTGGTTTCTTTCTCTTTTTGGAATGCAAGTTTCAACACAGTTAAAAAAAAATCTATTGATCCTTTGTTTATAATTAATGTGAATTATGCCACGAAAAATAGCTTACACTCCAATTTCGAAAACCAAATTTTACAAAGGTGAAAAACAAAAAGAAAAAATCTGTGGTAAAATATGCACTCTAAAAAGAGAAACAAAACAAAAAAAATTTGAATATCGATTCTGAGTTTTTCCAGTGCACCCATACCAAATTGGATATTTTAATTTTAGATAGAACATGACTCCCTATAATGAACCAGATGATTACATCTAAAGCATGTTTAGAATGTTTCACAGAACAAACAAGACTATCTTCCCACAATTACTCAATATTAATTTCAGTTATTTTTTAAAAATAAACTTAAGAATATAGGATTCAAATTATTGCGTTTTTTTAATTAAATTCCCTTTTATTTTAAATTCTATGTGTAATCTTTTTATTGAGTCAAAATAAGTTTTATGTGCAAGAAAGCAAACTGGTTGCATCAGACACTGAGCTTGGAGTCAACAATTAAAAGGTTCAATATAAAAGCATCTTTCAAGAAATTGTTTCTTCTTACATACTTTGCTCTATTCTATTATTTTCTTTGATTGATACCACCTAGCATGAAAGATTCCTACAGAGGTTACTGTTTAACAGACTAACTAAAATATTAAGTTTAAAAAACAAAATGAAAATTCCATTTTTTGAAATGCAAATATTGTTTTCATTATTTTAAATAAATACAAAATAGCAATTCAAAATATTCATCTTTAAGATTAAAATGCTAATGAGCTTATCTTGGAGTACAGATAGCTCTTACCAATTCATACCCAGAAATTGAAAGCAATAAACGTACTATTTTAATGGGGGAAAATATTAAATACCTTTAAAATATTTATTTATTTTATTCATACATTATTTATAATAAATATATATTCTTATTCTCATAACAACAGATACATATATTCAGTTATAGACAATTAAATATTATATATGGCACTTAGTTGGCAGTTTTTAAAAGAAACAATTTTAAAAATTGAACCTAGAAAAATGATATCTTGTTTCAAGATATTCTAAACAATCCATGTAAAATGTCTTCCCAATAATAATCTTATAATTGATATTTGCATACAATTCTTATCAGTACTCATGAAAAAATAAAAGTGAAAGTTAAAAAGAAACAGAACAACAGAAAACTAAATCAGGTACAATAAACATAAAATAAGAATTTAGCGAACAGCTAAAGAGATAAACAAAAATGAATAATACAATCCTATAAGTTTACATTTCAAAAACACTATGATAAATACGGAGAAACCTCAGCTTGTGAACATTCCAACCCAATGGACACCAAACATTATAGAAATTGTCTCAAAGAATTGTCAAGGTAAATAATTTAAAATAAACTTTTAGCAGATCTTTTTATCTTGTTGGATATATGGTAAATGAATTAAGCTAGTAGTACTTAGTAGCTTGTACTCTTAGCTATTCTCTTTCCATATTACTCATTTTAATTTATAAAGTTTAAATAAATATTAATGCCTTTCCTTGTTTCTCATTCTAAATTTTTTTTAATCATTATGTTAATTTAAATAAAACATTTTAGAACTTTATGCATCTCAATAAGCTTGTTGATCGTCTAAATGAACCATTTTCAGTTCTGAGGGTTTGTACAGGGTCTCCTAATTGAACATCTTAAGTCCTGAAGGTGTCCCCTTTACTGAGGTTTCATAGTAATAAGAAACATATATGAATAAACACGAGTTAAAATAAATATACTTGTATACATTATCTATATTAGAGAAATATAGACACATTTTTACACAAATCATAATCATAAACTTTGAAAATGTTAAATACATACTGATAATACAGCTGCAAATACAAAGTAAGGATAACATGATTCACATTATAAAAAACCATATAAAATCTCAAAATGTACTAAAAAAACATCATTGTATAAAATCTATATAAATTTTCGCTTCAGAAAAACAACTTCAACAACTGAACATTCGAGTCACAACTTCATTAACTATTGTCCCAACTTCTGCCATACCACCATAACCAACATCACCGCAAGCCAATCTTTTGGCAACACAAGGTATCTCAAAATAACCCAACTCTTTTAAAGTTTTGACATGTTTTGCCGTAAGTGGGTGGTCCCACATGTATGTGTTCATGGCAGGACAGAAAAACAGTGGTTTTAGGCGATCCCAAGCTCTGATGGTGCACGTGAGAAGATTGTCACATATGCCATTAGCCATTTTAGCCAAAGTATTAGCATCTAGTGGGGCTACAATAAGAGCATCAGCCCAACGCCGTAGTTGGATATGAAGAACTGGATCGGACATTTCTTTCCAGGTAGCCCATTCATCATCATCTGAATAAACTGGGACATTTTCGGGCATTTCTTTCATGGGTATGAAGTGGAAAGCATGTTTTGTGGCTATCACCTTTAATTCCATATGTCTACCATCAATTGCTTGTTTTAAAAGGCTCTTTAAAAGTTCAGGTAACTTTATACTGGCTACACTTCCTGTACATCCAATCAGAACATGAAGTTTTTCACAAGGCTCCATAATATGTTTAGCTTCTAGAAAACAAGAAGAAATAGGCATCATCAATATTGATCATCATAAAAAGCTTAGTTTTTAGAAAATGAAGAAAAAATAAGCATCATCAATATTCACAAAAAGTTTATTCTAAACACTATTCTCAATACTGAATAATAAGTTCAGATTTTAGAAAGTGAAGAAACATTAGACATCATCACGATAAGTTTAGTTTCTAGAAAATTAAGCATCATCATAATGAGTTTAGTTTCTTTAGAAAATTAAGAACCAATAGGTATCATAAATATTTATCATCAAAATAAATTTAGTTACTAGAAAATCTAGTAAAAATAGGTATTAACTATATTCATCATCATAATAAATTTAGTTAAATTTATTATGATGCACTATTTAGTAAAGTGCAAATTGAGGAAAAAAATAAGCATCATCAATATATTTAGTAATACTTATGTCCTCAAAATACTGTAAAGAGAAACAAAATTAATAATTAAAAAGGATATAATAAATTTTCTTAAATCTTAGTAAATAGAGGATATTACAACACATAAGGGTTAGCAGGAAATAGTTGTCCATGAATTAATAAGGATCATGAATTTTCATGAACTATTATGATTTATGGATTGTTAAGGATCTATTTTTCAGTTTGAAAATACTCGTGTTTATAAAATAAATTTATATATTATGTCCTGGAATATTTAGAACTCTTATAGACACCAAACTAACATGCTGGTATTACATAGTTTGGAGTAGAAGACAGTTGTTTTGCTTTTCGGTAGGATCACCTGAAATAATATTAATTTTTCTATGCCTTCTCATTAGAAATGGGTTTGTTTTCGCTTCAAACTTTAACAGGTGGATTTCTCATGATGGCAGGATAGTAGATTAGTTTTAAAAATTTAATAGTAAGCCTTAAACTTAAATACAATTTTAAAGTACTTTCCAGGGATTAAAATTTGGGTTAAAACAGCTGTAGTAAACCAATTCAACTTTTCAAAAGTATCAAATAAAATTAGAATTTTATAAATTGCTTTAGAAATTGCTTTGAATAGCTGTACTTGGCTGAAGATAATACATCAAAGTCCCATTGCTTTACACAATGTAAAACAATTGATTAGGAGAAATATTACAAATCAAAAGATTTTTTTAAAAATCTTGCTTCATAAATGGGCCTATGATAAGAGGTTAACTTAGGATGAGCCTTTTTCAAATCTGAGTGAGTGATAATTTAGTTTGTTGCACCGACTAAGTTTCTGGCTATTATCAGAGTTCATTGTTTTTATTTGTGAAATCAATTGTCTCAATGCTAGAAAAAGAAACTCGGGGGGGGGGGGGATTTCCATGACTTGATCTGTGGCAAACTTATTGCCAAGTCTTCTCAACTTCTCAGTAGCAGGCCGCAAGAAACTAATAATTTTTTTTCTTCTTTTCTTAAATCACAGGGACCAAATCAAAGGGTGTGACCTCTAAATTTTTTTTTTTTAATTTTTTCCGTTTGAGATCAATTTGGCCCATTGGCGATTGTAGTTGGCAGGGTAGATCACGATACGAAAATATCCGCACACAAAGTGTGTAAAATATCTACTTTGTTTCATATTATTAAACATCAATTCGGATATTGTAATTTATAAGTTTTCATAAATTTTCTGAAGTACTGTAAATTAAAGTTATTTGATTAAATGCAAGTTTAGGAACGTATAAAAAATAAGTAAGCACTGACCAAATTATAAAAGTGCGTTAATTACTAGAAATAAATGAAGGAACCATTAGCGAAAACCAGGAAAAAACTATCAAAAACAAAACAAAGGCCTGAACGCACATCAGTTGCACAACTACTAAATTAGCTTGCAGCTTTTTTATTTTGTTAATGTATAGATGTGAGCGCATACATTGATAAAAAATTTCAATAAATTATGAAAAACGACGCTTGCTTGAATTATGCGTCAACTTTTGACTAAAATGTTAAAAAATAATATGATTTATTTAATTAAGTAAAGAAAAAAAAAGTCACTAAAAAGACGAATATAGGCAGACGGATGCGTACCTATGTATCCCTAAAGGGTCATCATCAAAATATAAACAATTTTATCACTGGGCTGCATTTGAGTGTAACTTTGAGGCTTCTGCCTATAATTTATATTTAATTGTTTGATAATATTCTTTCATTTCATCTGAATATGGGTAGCAGGCAGTCTATCTGGTTTCAACCAGATTTGGCTGAACCAGAGCAGCCGTTTGTATCTAACTTCGACCCAATGTTAGGATTTCCGAATGGAAGGAAAGTTAGAAGTAAGAGATAAAGTATTATTTTAATTTACTTGTGCGTGTACAGTATTATTTTGTTATTAACATCCTTATCATATTCAAGAAAATTTATATTTTTGTGTATAGTCACCTTAAGTTCGCAGGCATCTCTTACACATCAAAGAGCAAAAACTACGAATTCATATTATTCTGTTTAGTATTTATATACTCTCGCAACAAAAAATGTGGAAAGCTTAAAAATATGTTTTACATGCTCTTAAGATATAACTAATCAGCTTTTATGAATCCACAATGGAGACTATTTATGCTATTTACTCAGATATTAACTGCTAATATCTTACTTATACGTAGCATTAATTTTTTACAATGAGCCATAAGAATTAGGCAATATTTCAGTATTGTGAACAATGCAAAAATAATCATTAAGTCATTATCATGCAGTTGATCTTGAAATTGTGGAGGTGAACTTCTGAATCTGGTAGAGATGTAACGGATAGTGATTTGGCTGAATAGCAAATATCTTTTTTTTAAAAATCATTAAATATTATGTTTTTATATAAATAAGTTTAATCATTATTGGCAATTAGCCCAAACTTAGCTAGATTATTGGTATGGGATGAAGGGGTAAAACCTCTAATATTTATTTATTGGAAATATTTAAGATAAATAAAAAAAACTGACTTATAACAATAGAAAAAAATTAAGTTGTAAAAAAAAATAGAAATATTATAAATTATTTAAAAAAAAAAAAAAAAAAAAATGCTAAAAGTAATATTTTTAGCAACAAAAAAAAAGTATCCATAAAGCATTAAAAGGAACATAGTCTATCAAAAACGCTTTTGAAAATGACTATCACTATCATAAAAATGCCCACAAAAGATAACATTCAAAAGCATAACAGAAAATATAAAAATCGATCTTAGTTCTCGAAAGAAAATTTTTCAGCTGAACATCTCAGTTTTTCAATTATAGTTTTTCATATTATAAATTATAAAAAAATACCCTGAATAGATGAAATATCAACCCTAATGGAAACCCTTTTAATTGCTGTATCATAATAAAAATGTAGCAAAAGCTCTATAGAAACCAAAACAAAAATCGTTCATAATTTTTTAACTAAGAATTTAATGCTAAAAATCTCAATTTGGCTTTTTCATATGGCAGTATTTTTAGAAAAAAAGTGATGTTATGAAAGTAACATCATTAGAAACGCTTTTTAAAAAATACTGTGCCAAAATAAAAATGCTTAAGGGAAAAATTAATAAAAAAATGAAAAGAGTAAGAAATTTTTTTTTAATATAACTTGTTGAAAAACACAGTTTTTTTTTTGTCTTAACATACAGGAAGATAATGACAGTAAAAGAATAATCTTATCAGAAATAAACCGTTAAAATGCCATGCTATAATAATAGCAGAAAAACTGCAAAAACGAGAAGAAGAAAATTTTTTTTCAATTCTTAAAAACAAACAAATTGACTTGCCTGAATATAATTACAAAACTCAGCAGTACAAAACATGTGGTTCAATACAAAGTATTCTAATTTCAATTTTTCAAATTTCCCTTTTCCATTTTTCTTACAGAATATAAATTTGCAAGCACAGGAAATTTCAGAACTTAACTAATAAATGTAAAAACTATTTCTGATAATGTATAGTAAAAAATACTATTTTAAATTATTGTTTATTTAATCTATTCAAATTCAAGAAAGAAAAAAAACTTAGTCAAAAAAATACATTGCCGAATGTTTGGCCAAATATTCGGTAAACGGTCAGAATAGGCTGAATATCGAATAGTGGCCAAATATTCGTTACATCTCTACTTCCTGACTGAACTGCTGTTGAGGGAGTGCTGAACTATTTTATTATTTCTTATATACAAATACAACAATCTATGTATGTACAAAAATTTGTAAATATTTATTTTTAAACCAATATGATTATCTGTTAGAGTGTAGAATAGCATACCTTTTTGATTGGACACTGTAATTTGAGGTTTTTACTCTATATGAAATCTTCAATCAACTTATTATTTGTATACATTAATTTCTTATTATTAGAAATTTCTCTTTTATGTAATTTTCCCTGTTTTCCCAAAGAATATATAAAATTGCCAAAATAAGAGGGGCACTAATGTAAACTTTTACCTTGTTTTGTTATCAACTTCAAACATAACACTTTGAAAAAAATTTAGTTACACTAGTTAATTTTTATTTTCATAGAGCCCAGAAATTCAATTTTAATTTTGCAAATAATAATCTAGACTAATACTTATGTAAAATTTACTTTTAAGCACCTTCTTAAATTGGTTTAATGATTAAACAAATTATTTTATTCATGAAAAATGGCAATCTAAAAAAAAACCTATGAAATCCTTTTTTTTCTTCCCCTTTCTCTCTCTCTTTTTTTCTTTTCTTTGTTAGTATAAACCAATAAGTATACTTCTTTAGATTCTGTACGAAACAAATAATAAACATTGTTGTTTCTAATTTTATTATGTGGGGAAGATTTTAGTATAGTTAAACCAGCAGCAATAAAGTCCCCAAATTTTGGTGACAACCGGGCACTTTCATGCAAAAAATTAAAAAAAGTATCACAGAAGAGAACCAACTCGAGGGGTATATAACTTGTAGCCAACCTCACATAGATTGCATTTTTAAACAAAAATCCATTTGGCACTGTGGAGATGATAGTTGACACAAACAGAAGTACTAATATGGACCCCACTAAATAAGTTATATTAAATTATGTATTGAAAACTAGTTAGTATTTTTTTAAATAACATAATATTAAAAAAAAAACATATCTATCCATTAAAATTATCAATGTAGAAATTAATTCGTTTTATATTAATCTATGTAGCTGTGAAAACTACCGTAGAAGAAATGGAATCTGCTCAAATACCTCCAGACTTGCGAGATTACTGCATAGATTACTATATGAAATATCTGGAATGCAGACAGAAAGTTTTTCCATGGAATTACAAATGCGCTCATGAGATTCATGACTATCATAATTGCCAATTTCAAGAGTAAGTAAATAAATATTACACTTTTCTAAGAATAAAATTACTTCCTAGATTGTACTTTATTAAATTTCAAACTTTGTTAATATTTAAATCAGAAAAAGACATTGTTGCTGCGCCTTCTTTATTTTATTTTACATTTTCTTAGTGTAAATACCACATGGACGAAGACTTCATACCTCAAAATGATGTACTCAACGTTTTGAGGAGAAAAAAAATCTCAAATTGTGAAACATTTCATTCAACCTCAAATAGTCAAAAATTTCCTGAAAAATCTCAATACATTTCTTTAAAGCTGCATTTAAGTCGTCACTCAAAATATTCATCAAGTCTAAACTGTTTATTTAAAATTATATACCTTACAGGGTTATTCATAATTCCCTCCGGGGAAGCATTATAGTAAAAAAAAAAGGAGACGTATATATGAAAAAAAGAAACATATGAAATTATTCCGAAACTATTCAAGTTTTACTTACATATATTACAGGTGTTCTATGTGTGAACCCTTGGTCACACGGCATACACCATAGTCCAGTTCCTGCCCGGAGGGAATTATGAATAACCCTGTATATGAGTAGAATAGCTTCGTTTTATTGCATGGTTTTTTGTAAGCAATTCTGTGACAATTTTTTTTAGGGGGAATTTAAGTTTCTTGTGAAAAAAATACTATCTTTTAAATATCAATATACTAATTAATTCCATGTACTTTTGGAGCTATTTTCATGATCTGCCAGGCACTCTTTAAAAAGCGTTTTTTTTTTTTTTTTTTTAATAAAAAAAAAAAGTATTTTCAGACAATCCTCATCTTCAAAGATAGCAACCTCATTAAGAGAGCTCATCTTGTGATTGCCAGGCAACACAGCTGTCATTTAGTTTTAAAATTCTTGTAATTAATTGCTTAATAAAGATCCTATGTATTTCATTGTTTTGTTAAAACAAATTCCCAAAATATGCTTAGCTTATTTTTTCAGTCATCTTAAAATGGCCACTGAGAATTAAAGAGTAACAAGAGCTTCTTAGGAATTACTTATCGTCATAGAATGTTTATTTTCTACTTAGTTTTGCATTCAATTTTCAAAAGTTCAACCAAAAGTAATGATAAACATAAATATTTTTAAAATTAAGACTTATTTCAGTTTTCACTGTGGTTAATTATCTCTTGTGTTCCAGTATTGGAAAAATTAAATTGTGTTAACTGTATGCTAAATTACTGTGAGTAATATACTAAATTTATCTTCTTAAGTATAAGACTCAATCTATAGTTCTAGATTTAATAATATTTTGCAGTTAAAATAATGTTTTTTTACTAGCCATGAATTACGAATGAAAGAATATGAACGTGAAAGAAGACTACAAGAGAAGCTTGCTAAACAAGAAGCTGAAGATTAGATAAAAATTATTTTGTACAAAAACTTTCTGTGTAGCATTAAACTTTTACTATTTAGAAATTAAATTGTGTTGTTGAACTATTTAAGACAGTTTATTCAATTGTTAATTAGTGTTTACTTTTATTGTTATGCTTAACAGTCATACTTCTTTATGATCTTTACTAGGGATGTAACAGATATTTGGCTACCATTTGGTATTCGGTTGGTCGAATATTCGGCGAAATATTATTTCTGAAAAATGTTTTTGATAAATTTTTTCGGGGCGAAATTTTAATAGATTTAATAAAAAATAATCTATAAAATTGTATTTCATACTATACATTATTAGAAATAGTATCTATATTATATTAAACGCTAATACGCATTTATCAATAAAACCGATGATATTTCTTTTCTCTCGTTGGCAACAGTTTTCATTTTTAATTGATAGGCTTCGGCGCGCAAGAGCACGTAGTGAGCATCATATGTCTAATCGGGTGAATTCTCACCGCATTATCAAAAAAATTCTCACAAAATTATCTTCATCGAAGCCGATGCTTTACATCCGGCGTTCAGTACTATTTCATATTGTTTTACAACACGTGGTTTTAACCCTCTGGTGGGAAAGACTTTAAAGCAAAACTTACAACAGTTACTTTTCTCAACAACTGAAAATTTAGAACAGTGTGATTAGGAAAAATATGTGAACTGTTTGCAATTTCGAATTAATATTGAAATGCATAGGTTTAGAATTTTCTACAGAGAAAAGTTTTCGGAACTTCAGTGTTCAAAAAAGTATACAAAAGCTAGACGTTAAGAACGTATCCAATGAGCGAGCAAAGCGAGCATCGGATTGCGAAGCAATCGGAAATGAACTGCAAAAGCAGTTTCGGGGGTTGCCGAGCGCCAGCGAGCAGGGGGCGAAGCCTCCTAGTTTAAACATATTTACGTTCTATAACTTGTTAATTTATGTTCTGAAAGACATGGAAAAGCGAAATTTGAAGACTTGATACTTGATTACTTTATACTAAGCCAAGAATTTTGTAATGCTGATTTTTATTTCTCATTTGTATTATATTGAGGCAAATCATCGTTTTTTCACCACCCTATGTTTTAAAAATTGAGGTTTGAGTTACTGTTTTAAAAATTAAAACTTTTTTTAAATTTTATTTGTTTTGTTTTTCTAGGTTAACTAAAGCAAAGCATGTTAAAGATGTGCTTTTAATAGATTTTATTTCTTTATTCTCACTCTTTTCTTGTACAGTAAGACAAACTAGTAACATAGAAAACTGTGATTTTCAATATTAAAGTTTTATTTCAGAACTAAGAATACTTTTTTTCTGTTCCTCTTTTGAATTTTTATTAACCTTTCTTTTTATTAGAGTTTTTAATATGTCAGTATTTTTTAAAGAGCTCTTCTAATGAACGTTATTCTTTTATGGTCACTTTTTTCTATAAATACTGCAATGTAGAAAAGTTAAATTAAGATTAAATCTTTCTTTTAAAATTTAAGAACTATTTTTGTTTTGGTTTTTATCTAGCTTTTTCTTTTTCAAAAAACTTATGTTTATACAGATGTTTTTATGTTATGATGTGATAATTAAGAGGGTGTGAATTAAACTTTAATCTTTATTTTTTCTTGAAAATACAGTAATTGGAAAACTGAAATGTTTAGTTTTAAAATTTTCTTTCAAAAATTAAGATCGATTTTTATACTTTTTATTTTTCTATTTTACTTTTGTAGATAATCTTTGTTTTTTATAGGTATTTTTATGATGGAGCTGCATTTCTAATAGATATCTTTTTTTTTTTTTTAATGTTTTATGAATAATTTTGTTTTCCAGAAAATATTTTTAACTAAAGTTTTATTTAAAAAATTTAAGATGATATTTTTTCCTATTTCTTTTCAACTTTTTTTAATAACTGTTAGTCTGTTTTTTTTTTCATCTTAAATATTTTAAATTTTAATATCTAATGATTTTTATTATCTTAAACATTTTTTTCCTTTCACTCCATACCAATAATACAGCTAAGTTTGGATTATTTTTCAATAATGACTAAACTTATTTCTATATAAAGAAAAAATATTTATTAACGATTTTTTTAATAAAAAATTTGCTAATTGACTGATTTTTTTGGCCGAATATTCAACCAAATCATTATTTGTTACATCTATATTCTTTAGTAAGAAACCATTTATTGTCAATTTCCTAGAAAACTCTTAGAAAATGTTTAGGAAATTTTCAAAAAAAAGTAATAATAATAAAAAGGCAGAAGATTAATTTTCTGTTTATAGGAGGAAAAAAGTTAACAGACTTGCATTTTAAAATTTACTTTTCATCACCCATCACATCATAAAATCATTCTACTTGTGATAAAGGAAGTAAATTTTAAAAACATAATTTTTTTTCTCTTGATTCTCTTTTAAATACAAGTGCTTGAAATGCAACTTAAAAGATTTTTTTTTTAAATGCTCATAAGAAGAAAACAAAAAATTTTTTTTCTAAATGGCTTGAATAAAACTAGATAAATTTAGCCCTTTCAAAAAATTGATACAAAATATCAATAAAAATTATATTCTTATTTGTGATTTAAAGTGCAATTATTTTCTTAAGCAGAATACAATTATTACACATTTTTAAAATTAATGTTCTCTCAACTAACTCCTCTTGTATGATCTATCCTTAACATGCATCCATAACCCTAATCAACTAAACTCAGTGGCGCAACAGCTCAAAGAGGGCCAAGGCCTACTGTGCCCATCTCAGTTTTCTTGACCTTTGGCTCTGGGGTGCAGGAGCAGATGTTCCGATTAGGTGGTCAGCCGAACGCGAAACCCCCAGCATTTAGTTCCCAAGCATGCTTGGTACTCATTTATCGACCCACTGAAGGGATGAAAGGCTGAGTCAACCTTGCCCAGCCTGAGGATCGAACCCAAGACCTGTGGCACGGTAGCGTATCCATAATCCTAGAAACCTAAAAATCATTAAAATAGAATTTATTTCCTCCAATTAATTTTGACTTATTTAATACACAATCCAGCATTTAAAAATTCACACTTTGACCTGCATAAATATGCCAGTTTTCCTTACATTAGATCTAGGGAAAATTCTTGTTTTTATAGGGATTTTTTATGGAGTGTCTGTTAAATTTGTGAAAATGTCAAATGTATATTTAATATATCTTTTTTTGTCCATATCACTGTCTATTTCATCATCTTAAAACTAGTAGTCTCTGCTTACTTATTTTCATACAAATTTACTAAAATACTAACCAGATATTGTTGAATAATTTAGTTTTTTTATGGTCAGAATTTTTATTAAATTAGTATTTTCTGTTATACTAGGAAGAAAGAAAAAAAAATATTTTGATAGAAGTTTTAACGTTTATTTATGAATGAATGATGAATTTGGTAAAATTAAATGATTTATACAAAAAACTAATTTTTAAATTAACACGTTATTTGTTGCCCCGCTTTTGTTCACAGCCTTGAAGTCTAAGGAGTGAATTGTTTTTTCTATCTCGTTTAATTTGTGTTGTCAGTCTGGCATCATAAATGAGATTTAGGTGAACTAGTTTTAATGTAAGGAAGGAATTACTTACAGGCTAACTCCATTTTTGTTAATTAGTTAAAGTTTGACTTCTCTTCCCATATTTTGACAAGCAAAAATTAAACTCAGCTATAGAAGAAATAATTTGATGAAATTTCTGTCCTGTAGGCAGTAAACTATGTTTAAGAAATGCAAAATCATTTAGAAAAAATACTAAATATATAAAAAGAATAATTTATTATCTTGGTTGTTGGGTATAGAAATACTTTTTTTAAACTTGCATGTTATTCATTTAAAAATATGCTTTTACAAGTGTGCTAGCTCCTAAGGCCAAACATGGATATTTGCATCTTTCCCCAGAAGAGCTTTAGCCAGAATGTTCAGCGTTAGTTCTGGCTTTTCTCAAACTTTCTGATGCCTACTTTCCTGCATCAGAAAACCAGTTTCCCCATGTACCTGAATGGAAAAATAGTGCATAGCAAGAAAAGTTCTGTGCAATTTTACCAACAGGCTCAATGCTGAGAAGATCATATCAAGTGAAACTTAAACATTGCTACTTAGACAAGTGAGGTTTTGTTTTCATAGGCATTTTTTTTTTTTCGTCTTCCATAATTTTTTATTGTCTCTCTTATTCAAAATCATATTTAACTTAGTATTTAAAAGCAGAATGTCTTGAATTTTATTTTAATCAGTTGTATATATATAATGATAGGCAAAAAACTGTCGAAAATGAATTCAAACTCTTTGCTTTACATCCGTAAGCTTCCAACTTTATTTTATAAATTTTAATTTAACATTTACTAAAAGAGAAATATATGAAATTTTAATTTCTATTTATTTTAGAGAATATCTTAATTTAGAGTCTAGAGTTAATTTTTTTTTTGAATTAATGTTCTTGTTAAACAAGTTATGTATTGACATTGATGGAAAAAGATCTTTTAATGGTCATTTTTATAACAAAAAATAAACCACATAAGATGCACCTCAATTTTTTTTTCTGCTGGAGAGCTGATCAGATGAAGAATTTATCATTTTAGTGAATTTAACTAAATGAACTTATATTTGTTGTCTATAGAAATAAAGATTATATCTTGCTTTTTTTTTATCAACATGCTTCTAATTGACGAGTTCTATAAATCCTTAATACTCAATTTAAACTGATTGTGTCCTGGGGTCTTAATTTTCTGCCGAGATAAGTTTCGTTAAGTTATTCGTCAACTATTTGTTTCCAAATGCACTTGGAACCTCCTCCCACTTTTAAAACTCTCAGACTGTCACTTAGTATATACCTTCATTTATAGGGATTTATAAAATTTAAAGACTAAACAAAATGAATTAATGTTGATAGTTAAATAAATATCCTCAATTTTAAAGACAAGATGTATTTGATTTAATATTTCATCCCTACTTCCTAGCTTTTTTGAATGCATCAACTATATTTGTTTTCTCAAATTGATACAATAAATATGTTATATAATGAATTAAATCAAACAGAAAATTGATAAGTTCGATATTGTTCTTCTATCTTTTTTTACTTTTATATACGTTATAGAAAATTTTTAATGATAGGGAGACCTTCAACTGTGCATCTAATAAATTGAAGTAAGTCATTTTATAAATAAATTGTATTAATTTAGTATACTGTTTAAAATTTTGCTCTTGTGTTCAATCATTGTTTAGTTTAAATGTGTAAAAATAAATTTAAACAAAACAAAAACATTTTCAGTGGAGGACACATTGTTTTATTTCAGTAAAAAAAAATTTTTTTAATACAGAACAAATTATAATATTTCTATGTGAATAAATAAATATTGCAAATTTTATTATCACATAAGAGTATTTAAAAATATGATATATTATGACAACAAAATGTGAAACTGGAAAAAAAATATATATTTTTAAACGGCACAAAAAGTTTTTTTTAAAAATTGTACTAATATTCTTTTCAAAGTGAATAATTAATTTAACTGAATTTTTTTAATAAAAGAATAACATTGTTAGCCTTGAGGTCCTCTTCTGAAGTAAACAACAACTCCTAATAACACAGCTAGAGTCGTCATAATATACAAATCCCAATCAGGACCCAGTATGTTATTCATATTTATATTTGGCAGAAGGGCATCAAAATTTAACTGAAATAAAGAAAACAAAAAATTGATCAATTAACATTTATTTAATATACCTATAAAATAATGAATAAATAAATACAGCAATTGTACATTATGTGAAATACATAATTTCAATATATTCTAATGAATTAAAAAAAAAGTGCAAGACTGTTCGAATATCAACACAATATGCATTCGCAAGTATCGACAATGACATGAAAGTCTATCAAATATCTGTTGTATACATTATTTTGTTTATTTATACTTTATATCTTTCTTCTAATACAATGCTATCTTTTTATTATTTTTTCTTCCAGAAGATAAAAGTTTACTTCGAAATTAAATTAACACTAGAAAGACTGAAATTTAGTATATACCTATATTGCGCAAAAGCAGTTAAAATGACTGGATTGTAAAAGAATAAATAATGTGTAAAGAAATTAGTTCAAAATTAATTTTTAATATTTTTTATATTATTTACAGTTATATAACAAGTTATTAGTAAATATTAACAATAAAAAATACTTCGCTTGGAAAAAAAATTATACATTATTGTTTGTAAATTTTTTGCAATTGAAAAAGCAGTTAAAAACAGTCAAAANACAAATAACTATACTTATAAAGGAACTAAAACAAAATAAGTTTTAAAAAGTAGCTCAAGTAAAATAAAACTTTCAACTATGTAATATACATCTTTATTTATAAGGTCGCACAATTTAAAATTTTTCTTAGTCTTCTTTTAGTATATAAGAATTGAAGGGAAGGCTGTAAGCTTACGATGTGTAAGTTTTTGTTTATCAGTTTTCATTTAAAAATAATCAATAGTATTGTTTATAATTGGAGTTAGTTTTACAAGAATATCTATACCCTGAAAAAAAATACAATAGAAAAATCAATGACATTAATTTATTATATAATTTGAATGTAATTTATTACAAAATTATAAAAAGAAAAAAATTACAGATAGAATCATTATTAGTTTNAACGCTTAAATGCAAATCGCGATATTGAATTTTTAAATTGCGTGAATGGGAATTGCGAGTAATGATTTTTAAATCGTGTAAAAACGAATCTCAACTAGTAACTTTTAAATCAATTAAATACGAAAATCGATGATTTACATAAAAATCATCTGAATAAGAATCGCAATTTTAGCAGATTCTGGCCCAGTTCCTAATATTTAAAATTCTGTAAATCAGCCAATCAAAAGAAATCAAATATCAGCGGCCGAAACGAAACTGCTTAGGACTTTTTTTCTTTTTTCCAATCTATCGCGGAAGTCGCGGTTGTCAAGGCTACAGCGTACATGCCGAAATTCTACCCATTTTCTTCTGAAGATCATTTTTTCAGGAGGCTACTGCAGGGGGGGGGGAGTTCGTCGCAAGTCCGACTATATCGTTCGTTCGACTCCCAAAAAGTTTTTGGAACATGGTCGGAAATTTTAAAAAGTCTTTCACCCCTGAAAAGATAAGAGAGTAGTGTAGTAGATGACGGCATTGTTTTACCAAGGTCAACCACTTTTACCCCAGCCAGCAGATTGACATGTGAAGAAGGTTTATTGGGGGCTTCAATACTTTTGCTCCGCAGAAGAAATTTTTTTTTAACAAAATATCATTTACTGCATAAAAAAATTTTCCGCGCGGGAAGATATGGAAAAATCTGAAAAAAGCGGAAATCAGCGGATCCGCGGAAGAATCACATCCCTGAATATACTTCTTTATTATAAGGTCGCACAATTTAAAATTTTTCTTAGTCTTCTTTTAGTATATAAGAATTGAAAGGAAGGCTGTAAGCTTACGATGTGTAAGTTTTTGTTTATCAGTTTTCATTTAAAAATAATCAATAGTATTGTTTATAGTTTTACAAGAATATCTATACCCTGAAAAAAAAGTACAATAGAAAAATCAATGACATTAATTTATTATATGTACAATTTGAATGTAATTTATTACAAAATTATAAAAAGAAGAAAATTACAGATAGAATCATTATTAGTTTCTAAAACAAGATTTTAATTGAAAAAAATTAAATATACTATTAGCAATTCTCAAGTCCATAAGAAATTTTTTTTCTTATTAATGTAAATTAGATTTAGGATTGCAAACCTAAGACCAATATATTACATATTGGCCAGCTTAACAGTTAATATTTTACCAGACATACAGAAATTGAATCTAATGAAAACTAAACTCTGCTAACTCTTGTTTGATTGTTATATTACATGGCACTAAATATCTCCGCATGTTCAGATCTGAAATTCAATTGAATTAATTTTATAATTGAATCTTCTCTATTTATTTATTAGTATGCATCTTTACACAGAAAAGCATGACAAGAAGAATGATGTAGTGAAATCGATTCTAATGAGAACTTGACTCTGCTAACTCTTATTTATTATATTACAGGCCTAGTATCTATGCATGTTCAGAACTGAAATTTAAAGCAGAGTTCTTGAAAAAAAAATTTTGAAATTCATTTTATAAATTAATCATCAGTATTTATAAATGCACATTTCTAAACTGAAAAGCATTAAAGTAAACAGGTAAAAAATTATTACTTATTTTTTTTTAAAGAGAACTTTTCTTTAGTAAACTATACACAGTATTATTGAATTATATTTTTACTTCAAGATCAATCTTTTTTTTAAATTAAATTTTCTTTTCTATCCATATTGAGCTATATTTAACATTAGATAACGTTAAAAAAATACCTCTTGTATGTGTTGCAGACTGTAAACAATTCCCAGTTTCGCTAAGGCTAGCGCCACAGGTACTTGAGCATCTGTACTTGTTTCAGCAGCTTGATCATAATACCTTTTTGCTAAATGAATATCCTAAGATAAAATGCTTAGTTAACAATAATATCAAAAATAGTAGTAATATTTACAAGTACTAAGTAATAAAGTTTGAATTTTTCAAAAATACAACTATTCCAACAAAATGAACCATTTAAAACAACTGCATCTTTATTTAATCCTTGATGCATTTTCAATAAATTTTAATTTTTAGAAAAATAGTTTTCAAATCATGCTATATATGATCTAGGTATATAAAATAAGCTTTTAATTATGCATTAAAAGAATTTCTTCATATAAGCTGGTTCAGAATGAAGTACCGTATATTCCGGCGCATAACGTGCCCCGGCGTATAGCGTGCACCCGTAATTTCTAATACTTTTTTTACATTTTAAGATATACTCTTCGTATAACGAGCAAGAAAATTTGGATTGTACATGTACAATATCTCGTCTTTCAAGATCGTAAATAAAAAGTTTTTTTCCCCTATCTTTTGCAAAAATAAAAGAATTGAATTTGGCATGTATGTGAAGGTAGAGTTGTCCCACCTTACAGATACTACAAAAAAATTGTTGAAAGAATGTAACACCGATATGGCAGTTATTCCGGGCGGATTGACACCATTAGTTCAGCCATAGGACGTCTGCTTAAACAAACCACTTAAAGCCAATTTAAAGAAACAGTGGAACACTTGGATGTTGGAGGGCGAGAAAGCCTTTACGAAAGGAGGACATATGCGTCATGCAAGTTTGGAAACAGTGTGCGAATGGATATTAAAAGCATGGGATGAAATTAAGCCTGAGATGGTTAGAAAATCATTCAAAAAAATGCAGCATTTGAAATAATCTGGACGGATCAGAAGATGACTGTTTATTTATGGATGAGGGTAACACAGATGATGAAGACGAAACAAATTGTGATGACGTGCCTGAAGAAATAACGGAAGTCGAATATAATGAACTATTTATGTAATAACGAAAATCAATAAAGTATATAGGTAAAGGTATGCTATTTCTTTAAAATAAAAGTATTTTTCTATATTGAAATTTTTTTAATCTACAATTTTTCATATTCGGCGTATACCGCGCACCCGTAAATTCCAATGTTATTTTTTGTATTAAAAGTGCGCGTTATACGTCGGAATATACGGTATACTTTTCTTTCCTTTAATTTACAGATTTGATTTTAACTTAAGTTTAAAGAGACTCTACATAAACTTAGAACAGTATGAGATAAATGTGTTAAAAAAAAACAGCAAAAAATTTGAGCAGGAACACTACTGAAAGTAAGCATGTGACTAATCTTCAAAAAAATTAGGGATCTTATTTAAGGAGTCAGTTTATTTTGGGGTATACATCTCTTAGAGAGAACTCATAAATAATTATCCATCAAAACATAATTTTAACTTTGATTTAAAACTAACAATTTTAAAGAATATATTTTTTAAACCAAACTTTTATAATTTCTGGTTAAAGATAAGAATAAACATTTTATTTTGTTAAATTACTTTTTTCATTTCAAAATGTTTTTTTTTTAGAAATTAAGGTAAGTATTAAAAATATATAATTATAAAAAAGTTACTTTTAAAAAAATGAAATTGTACACAATGTTTCAATTTTAATGCCTCTGTCAGTTAAAGTTGAATGAAACCTCTCAAAAAAATAAGGCATAAAATATTTTACATTCTTTTGATCCATATTGGATATTTAGGGTAAAAAAACCACTCTAAAATAAACAAATATTGTAAATAATTATAAAATTGAATATATCCTATTTTCAATATTTATAAAAGTATTTTCTAAAAACCCTTAAAACAAAATAATTTTAAATGTACCTTTTTCATTCCTAAGCCCTGCTCATGCATATAACCCAGATTAAACATAGCTTGAGCATTGTGTTGCTGTTCTGATGCCATTCGATACTGATTCGCAGCAAATTCATAATCAACTTCTGTACCATAACCATAGTAGTAATAATCACCTACTTTCACTCGAGCAATCGAATAACCTGATAAAAATTAAATACCTGAGTTCCACAACTGTAACTTCATTTGTTAATTGTAATTGTACAAACTAGTGCAATCAATACAAATAACTATACTTATAACAAATAACTATTATTTAAATGAATTTAGATACAAATGTTTCTATAAGAATTTATTTCTAAGCTGTAAATAAATGTGAACAAATTAAAAGCCATTAAGCCATATTTTGAACTTTAAATAATTCATAAGCATCACACCTTTTTAAGTAAAAAAATAATTTTATATTTGTTAAAGTGTTATTATAAATGCAAAGATATCAGAAAAGGGCATATTTTGTGATTAAACATAAACGCATGATGACTTTTCATACTTTTTTAACATAATACATGTTAAAATTGTCTTTTTTATCAGTGTTTCTAGACTCTATGGAAGTTAAATTGAAACAAATATTTTTCCTCTCAACAACTTATTGTTATACTATACCATTAAGATGTATCAATTACATTCAAACTACATGTTGAATGTACGATCAAAATATTTTAGATAGTTGAACTCAAAAGCTTAGATTTTTACTCTAATTAAATGTTTGTACTAAATTTCTAATTAAATGTTTGTACTAAAGTTCTAATTAATTGTTTGTACTATTCAACCTAATCAAGATCTCAATAAAAATATTTTTTAAGATTTAATTCAGTTTGCAATGATTTTTAATTTAGTTTATAGCATGATCAACAAATCATTCTATGATAACTAATACCACATTTTTNTTTGTGTAACTGCCGTTTTTCCTAAAATTGAATTTGTGAAACTACCGTTTTTCCTAAAGTTGAATTTGTGAAAGTACCGCTAAACGGTAGTAAATTCGGCCTGGACAGACCCCTGTCTATGGAAGTTAAATTGAAACAAATATTTTTCCTCTCAATAACTTATTGTTGTACTATACCATTAAGATGTATCAATTACATTCAAACTACATGTTGAATGTACAATCAAAATATTTTAGATAGTTGAATTCAAAAACTTAGATTTCTCCTCTAATTAAATGTTCGTACTAAACTTCTAATTAAATGTTTGTACTATTCAACCTAATGAAAATCTCAATAAAAATATTTTTTTAAGATTTAATTCAGTTTGCAATTATTTTTAATTTAGTTTATAGCATGATCAACAAATCATTTTATGATAACTAATGCCACATTTTTTGAAAGTGAGCTAGTCTTTGAGTATCTAACTAAAACTCAAGACTTTTTCAGAGCTCATGACCAATACCTTATAAGAAAACAAAAGTACATATTTACCTTGCCCAGCAGCTCGACTCCAATACATAAGAGCTCGAAAGAAGGTTTCATTCTTAGAAACAATATCCAAATCACCTGAATAAAAAAAAGGTAAATATACCAATTATTCAATTCAGGTGATAAATTTTTAAAAATACAATAAAAAGTTTTCTTTTACTAATATGTTTTTATGTAAACCAAAATAAAAGTAATTATTAAGAAATTAATAAGAAGGTGAAAAGTTTGATTGCAGTCTATCGTTTCTCATGGATCCATCAATTGCGAATGATAGTTACGGGAAAGCGACGAAAAGGGTCAATATAAAATATTGATTAAAAAAAGTATTAAAAAATAATAAATTAATGCAGTTAAAAATTAGAACATTTACAATAAGAATAAAAATTGTTTAGTTGAAAAAACACTGCAAAATATTTATTTAAAATTTTTTTATTTTATTTAAAATAGATAAATTTTGGTTTGATCAATTTTTCTTCATAACCCATATAAATTTTTGATATTTGTAATGTTGTAATAAATAATTTTTACTGTAAATTAGAGTAAATACAAAATTTTTCCACTGTTTCAAAGGTTTTGAATTCCTCTGTAACTGTTGGTACTGGTTGTGATTCCATTTCACCTTCCTCATCGGCATCATTTTGCCTTTTTCCAGTTACTGTAATAAATTTTTCATCTGACATCACACCTAAAGTTTCGACATTTTCATCAATTGATGCATCAATATCTAATATGATGTTGGATGTATTTTCCCAAAGCTGTAACAAATTTTAATTATCTCTATTATTAACATTAGGAGTCTTTGTTTTTCTTCAAAAAATAAAATAACTTAATTTTTTTTTTAAATGTCAATGAAATTCCTGAAAAGATGCGGGAATTTGCTACTTTCTGAAAGGATATAAAAAGGTATGAATAACACTGTGAGAATAGTATTTGTGACGGAACTGGTCAAACAAGGCAATCCATACAACAAAACGAAAGATGCAGAAACGATGGATCGAGGTAAGACTGAATTAGCTTTGCCCTTTTTTAAAACTTAAATCTGACTGCTTTTCTGTATTATTATTTTTATTTTATGTGTTCTATTTAATGAGAAACAGAAAAAAAAATCATAAAATTATGTATATATTTTCCCATTATAAAGTTAAACTAGTAAAAAAATATAAATAAAGATAAACTTACAAATGATTACAGTTATGCATTGATATGTTCTTCTAGCATTTTAATGAAAAACAAATAATAGTTGATTTACATCAAGACTTAGTTAATACAGCAATGAGATATAATTTATAAGTCCAATATATTTAAAGTTTTATAACTTGCTTAAGATTGTTCCCTGAAAGCTCTTCAGTTACATGAAATTGTACATTTTAGTAAATAATATGCTATTTTTATAGCTGCTTCATTACAATTTTGCATATTTCTAGTCAAGACTCTCCATGTAGAATATGAAAATGATGCAAAATGTTAATATGTATAAAATCCACCTTGTGTTGTAAAAATGAAACACATGTGATTTAATTTTTTAATATTTGAAAAGTTACTCAACAACTGCATTCTTTGGACCAATCTAGCACAACTTTAACCATGCTGCAGACCATATTAATTAAACTAAATTTAACAAGTGCCATATTTTTCTAACTAAATTTTCAATAAGCCAGATAATTCTAACTAACTTAGTTGCAGGTCAAAAATAAAACAATAAATAAAGTTAATATACTAAAAATAATAATATTCAAGAATTTAATAAGAAATGCTGCATACTAAAAAAGCCAAAAAACTTAAGAAATGGCATACAATATGCACAACAAACAAAAGAATAACAATATTCAAAAACTTAAAGTGAAAAACTTTTTTTTTCTTCCAGTTACAAGTTTATCAGATTCAGGATATGCATTTGACATTGCTGTATTCAAAATGAATTCGAATCATCAGTCAAGCATGAAAGTTTGCTTCTTTTTCATTCATTTATTTATATTTTTTTGAGGTTAATAATTGAGAAAATTTGCTCTCACATGCATGTCTTCCATTAAACTCACTGTAAATTGGCAGGATAGCTTCAATAATATTTTTAACAATTAAATTCTTGTAAACATATTTTCTGCAATTACTTTTGTAAATGTTTGCGTATTATAGCTTAAAAATTTTCTTAGCATATGATTTGGCACATCTAATGGATTTATGGGAAATAGATCTTCAACAAACTTTGAATTTTTCTTCTTTAAAAAAAGAGAAGAAAAAAAAGAAATCTCTCTAAATTCTGCTATTTTTATTGATATGATTTGCAGGCCATAAACTAAGTGCTGGAGATCCGTATATTGTGAAGACATTTAGAAACATTAATATACTCATAAATTTAAAATGAGTTATTAATTTTAATAATTTACAACAAAATTAGAAAATTTTCCTTGAATTAATGATTTTTTTTAAAAAAAAGTTTAATATTGTATGAAATATTTGTCTGATTTGAGTTTAAAGCTATCAATTGTGTCTTTATTTTCATTGCTTAAAAAGCTTCAAAAAACAATTTTGAAATATCACATTATTTAAGTAAAGTGAACAATAAATGTCTGAAAGAGAAATTTTAATAAAATTCAAAAATAAATAAATACTTTACCTCTGTCTAAAATGAAAGCAGAATTGCTTTGGGCCACTTCATATCCTAACTCAGCTAAGACAATGTATTTAATAAGAGCTTCATTAACTCTTCCTTCTTTGTAATCATTGTAGGCCTGCATCAGATTTGTTCCCCAGCGTCCTCTCTCCGCTACATTTTTAAACAACTGAAAGCAGTAAAATATTAAATTTAAAAATAATTACTAAATAAATAATAAAATATGAACAAATATAGACTTTTATTTTGACAAATAAAGACTTTTATTTTTTATCCATAGAAGGCAATGAATAAAAAAAAACTAAGTTAGTTTTTTATGCTAATTTTTATTTTTTAAGAAAAACCAAAACATAAAAAAATTTGCTTTGCTTTTTATATGAAAAAAAAAAATATTTATTTTAGGGTTGGATTTATATCTCTTCCGAACCATTCTAATTTATAATAAATTAAAGAAATTAAGTTAACCCTAAAATTATGTCAATAAGTTCATTTAAATTACATAATTTTTTCCTAGCTATGATTTTATCTTGTGTAAAACAAATTGCCATTATTACTACAGTTTAATCCTAGAATTACGATATTACATGATCTAGAGGTAGAGCACTCTTCATAAAAAGTTCTCACAATAAAAAGTTCTTTATAGAAATTACTATTTCTATAAAGAACTCAGTTTAAAATGGAAATCTAAATCTTTCAGCTGCCTGAATAATTGGCAAATTTAATTTCTAAACATTTTCTACAAATACTATTCAAGTGATTAGGAAATAACATAAAGAAAAATAAACAAACATCTGTTTAATTTCTAACAAGGAGACTTGACAACAAGAGAAAATTTCTTTTTAAAAAAGCTTGTTGCTTAGCAACAGAGAAATTTGATAAAATTTTGCTAAACAGAAGATTATATAGAAAAATTGCATCTAAACAAGGCAGAATGCTTTCATGTTAGAACTGACTGCAAAACTGGGAACATTCCCTCAAACAAAACCTATATACATGAAATTTTTTTATCTTTATTTCCCTAACTGTGGCATAATTTTGCTTATTGAGCTTATTATAAATAAAAATTTTGGATATTTTGCAGTTCGTCAAATGCAAGAAAATTCAGCTACATTTTTATTTTATTTAATTAATATAATTTAAAATAATAAATAAATAAAAAAGTTGGCAAAGGTCTATATTTATTGGTGACTTTTAGCTTGTGTTGGCTAAGCAAAAAGTACCAAATTTTGCAAGCATGAATACTAAATTATTTTGAAATTTTTTGACAATGGGGAAGAAAAAAATGAATGTTAAGAAAAAAAAACATAGCATTATGATTCTGAGAAAAGGATAGAAAATGAATATGAAAATGAGAGATTTCTTTCAGGGGAAAAAATACTAACCTCAACAGCAGTACTGCAAGATCGAACAGTTCCCGTTCCAGAAGCATGCATCATAGCTAAGTTATAGAAAGCAAGAACATGACCAGATTGAGATGCCATAGTGTAATACTTGATTGCCATTTTGTAATCAGTTTCAATTCCCAAGCCACCTGAAAATATGTCATAAAAATTAAATATGATTAATTAAATGAAAATAAAAATTAAATGCTAAATCTTTTAAAAGAAGTTTTAACAATTGAGCATTTTTATTTTTCAAATTTTACCCCAATTAGTTTTCTTCATTTATTTAAAATACTCTAGACATCACAACAATTTAAAAGTTTTATTTCATTTTAACAGATGTATCACATAAAGACTAATACCTTCGGTTAAGGTTCATACTTTATTAGTTATGCCTTATTAAAAAATGAGTTTAAGATTTTTATCTAATAATTTTTTTATTATAAAATCAGCATATAACATTTAATAAAAATATTTGATTTATCCCCACATATAAAAAATTGGTGAAAAAAGAAAGTTTTTTAATAATCATAAATAGATTTTTATCTAATAATTTTTTTTATTATAAAATCAACATATAACATTTAATAAAAATATTTGATTTATTTCCACACATAAAAAAACTGGTGAAAAAAGAAAGTTTTTTAATAATCATAAATGGTGTTCTAAAAATGTTATAAGAAAAGATAGAAAATTTTAAACAGCAAAATGTTATGAGGAAGCAGTAGGTGAGGAAAAATATTTGAAAGTACGCTAAGTGATTCATTTAAAACTTTAATAGGACATCACAGTGATATACTAGATGAATACAATTTATAATGTTGCAAAGAGATATTTAAAGTTTGCTACAAAAGAGGCTATGCAAGTAGGACACTAATGGAACATTTGGTTGCCAATCATCGTCAAACACAACAACTTCTTTAATTGTAACAATGAGGCAAATGAGTATTGCTGTGACATATTTTGTTGGCACTACAAGCTTGTGATGCATGATAGTTGAGAGCTCACAAAACAAAGAAATCAATGCTTAATGATATTTCCTATCAGAAGTGACACAGTGTTGCTAGGTTCACAGTAGTGGGATACATAGTACCACCTAGTGGAGTATAATGACATTTCTTCACATAGGTTGCTAAGCAATTTTCAAATTTATGCCTTACCTCAGTAGAAGTGAGTCACAATACTTTTACTATACTTTACACAAACATAAAATTATATTAAAAAAATATATAAAATTCCTCACACGTTTTTTAGAAAATATATACGTATGAACAAGTATTTGGTTCAAAAATCAAACCTTTAATGTGTTAAATAAAAAATATATATCAGTTTAGAGAAGACTTGAGAGAGATTTTAAGATTATAAAAGATCTTACTATAGTACATATTGCCAAGCTGCAACTGTCCATCTACCCAGCCTTGATTAGCTGCTGCAGAAAAATATTTGAATGCCTTGTTGTAATCCTAATAACATATTCAGAAAAAATTTAAAAGAGACAATTTTATTAAAAAATAAAAATAAAATATTACAAAATTTAGCTTACATAGGCTTGATTACATACAACAATAACTGGATTATTTTTTTGCAAAATCTAGACATGCATTTAGTTCAATTATAACTTTTAACTTATTAAAACAAAATAATTAAAAATGTTTCTTACTTTAGGAACTCCCTTTCCATGAAGGTACATTAAACCTAAACCACTCTGACCAACTGGGTTATTCTAAACACAGAGAGAAACAGTATGATTTAAAACACACTTGTTTGACTTTAAAATCTTGAATATAAAATAAAAATAGAAAGGAAAAATATCAAAAATAATTCTAATCTATTCTAATTTGTACAATATGAAACATTTTATTTTACCAACCTATTGATTAATATATTTCAGAAAAATTTACATGTTAAAAGGCTCAGAAAAATTTATTCAAAATATTTCTTTCTCTTCCGATAAGACACAATTAGATAAAAAAAAAAAAAACATTGTTTAGCTTTATAATGAACAGGACAAATAACCTAAGTTAACAAATTTTCAATAAA